TGAATCTTGTAGGGTGAGACAGCCGAGGTATTCGGAGAGGTCCGGCAACGACGGCTCCCAAATGCAGCTTCACATCCAGGGTCTCTGCAAGCCGTGCCGATTCTTCGCCTTGCGTCCAGAAGGCTGCACCCGCGGAGCTTTGTGCACATTTTGCCACTACTGCACATCCAAGACGGCCAAGGAGAGCAAGAAGGAGGCCAGAGTCTTTTCGGGACTTTCCCTTTGTGTGAACTTCAGCTCTTGCATATTTCTTGCAGGTGCATTCCCGGGAATTCTGACCCGAAGATCCCTAGCCCTAGACTAGACTGCAGCAATTGCCACTTGATAAAACATGATGCTTTGCACACAAAGTGGTTCTTTCATGAAGAGTGGGTCAAAGTCGATCGCACACGCAAACCCCCTTCGTGCCTTGGGACCCGCTCGCACTTGTCTTAAACTCCCGGTCTTCCAGAGTCGGGAGTCCTCCTTCCCGATAGATGCGATATCCGAGGTCGTTGCTACTGCTTCGTTCTAGCTTGTAGTATTGACACTCGTACCATTACCACGACTGGTTATATTGACGTGCACCAGCTATTTTGCGGGGTAAGTGGTAGCGGCAGTAGTAGTAGTAGTAGTAGTAGTAGTAGTAGCAGTAGCAGTAGCAGTAGCAGTAGCAGTAGCAGTAGCAGCAGCAGCAGCAGCAGCAGCAGCAGCAGCAGGAGCAGGAGCAGGAGCAGGAGCAGGTAGCAAGTAGCAAGTAGCAAGTAGCAAGTAGCAAGTAGCAAGTAGCAAGTAGCAAGCAGCAAGCAGCAAGCAGCAAGCAGCAAGCAGCAAGCAGCAAGCAGCAAGCAGCAAGCAGCAAGCAGCAAGCAGCAAGCAGCAAGCAGCAAGCAGCAAGCAGCAAGCAGCAAGCAGCAAGCAGCAAGCAGCAAGCAGCAAGCAGCAAGCAGCAAGCAGCAAGCAGCAGCAGCAGCAGCAGGAGGAGGAGGAGGAGTAGCAGTAGCAGTAGCAGTAGCAGTAGCAGTAGCAGTAGCAGTAGCAGTAGCAGTAGCAGTAGCAGTAGCAGTAGCAGTAGCAGTAGCAGTAGCAGTAGTAGTAGTAGTAGTAGTAGTAGTAGTAGTAGTAGTAGTAGCAGTAGTAGTAGTAGTAGCAGTAGCAGTAGTAGTAGTAGCAGTAGCAGTAGTAGCAGTAGCAGTAGCAGTAACAGTAACCGTAACAGTAACAGTAACAGTAGCAGCAGCAGTGGTAGTAGTAGTCGTCGTCGTAGCTGTAATAATGTTACATTCATCATCATGCTAACAGTTATTTGTCTTGTTTTTGTGTTTGGCGTTGTAAGCAGTGATTCGCTCGTTCGTCGGTCGGATCGCTAAGAGTCCAGAGATTGTCATGAGAGGCCAAGCGCTTCCGAAAGGCTGAGACCAGGTCCCGAAGTGACCGCGGCACCAGCAGCTGTTAGGCGTGGCAGGGGGTTTGAACGAGGCTTCAAGCGCCGACCTTTAGGCTTGGTTGCTACAGGGTCGTTTTGGATTGGCTAAGACCTCCACCAGGTTAGTTTCGAACCCCTTGTCGTCGCCCGGCTGCTGCATCACACGTCATGTAGGTGTGTCAGTAGAATGATGAGGCGTTACAGGGAGGTTTGGCAAGAGCCGACGTTTGCCGTGAGAGGTTGACTGCTGTCTCCAGGACATGCTACAGCCTCTCGAGTTATTCTACAGTACGATCATTACGGTCGCGCAACATCACAGCATCCAGAAGACCGAGACATCCATAAATCAGAAGCTTCTGGAAAACATTGACCCGGACATCGCAAGTCATGGATACATGCTATGCAGTTTCACTAACCAACAGGATACAGGGAAGAAGTAACCGTAACAACCGGGTGACGGAGGGCATCACGCCTTCCGAATGTTTCGTTCTTCGTCGGATGCCGCAGTCTTTCTTTCTGGAGACTCGAGTGCATGGCTTTTTGGAGTGGTCCGCCGTAATGCCCAAATAGCACACGTATCATATCTTGCCGGAACATCAGACGTGCCTCACAGGTAAGTCTCCCAGTCTCTTCTACCAACTTCAAACACCCGGTATGGTTCGTTCTATCTTTCCGATGCCCAGGGCCATGCAACTTCAGGCCAGTGCAGCTCAGCATTTTACCTACGATCCGCTCTGTACAGTCTGGCTGTAGCCGGAGTGGAGAGCCCTTTGTGGCTTCCTCAGCTTGCGCACCAGTCTTGAAGAGAGAGGCACCAGGCCCCACTTGTCGTTAGAGGCCTTTTGTTTTAAGAGGAATCCGTTTCGATATCCCTGGTTGCCAGGTTTTTACTTCTTGAGCCTTCTCAGTTGCACCATTCTAGGTGCCTTTCCCTCGAGCCGCCTTTTTGGACTTGCTTTTGGCAAGCGGCTGGGGTGACCAGACGACCATTTGCGGGGGAGCAAGACAAGTATTTTACTCTGTGTCAGATGAGGGTCGCAGTGTTTGCAAGACTGAAGAGGAGGATATGTAACTGTGATTGATGGTAACTAAAAAACAAGAATCATGACCGGTGGAAGTGGCTTTCGACCTACAGCATGCCCTTGCCCCGCCGACTCGATCGAAGGATTTCTCGAGCGATCATCGGGGAAGTCTTTTGTTTCCAGAATGCCCTCAGCCCTGGCACAAGATCCCAACTCTTTGCTATCAATCTGATTTTAACTACTTTTTTTGCATGTGGCAGGCTTGGCAAGGCTCGTTCGCCGCCGGGCTTGGTATTCCGCGCGACCCGTGCGAGAAAAGAAGTCAACCCTGATTGTCAGCAAGGTCGCACTTGTCACGAGACAGCGCAGCATAGTGTTGCAGATGCCACAATGCAGCAAGAACATAGTGTCACACCGAATAGTCGCAGTACAAACAGCGACGGGCATGACGCTAATCGCTGCGGCAGCAACAGCTCTACTAGTTCACAGAAATCACAAGCAGCGGCCTCGCTGTTGTCCTGCTTGGTGGCCATGAAGACCGCGATGACGAGAATTGCGACAAAGAATCGTCCTGGCAGCTATGTTTCCTGTACTGCTGTGGTGATGATGCTTAAGAAGATGGGCTCTTGGCACAGTCATTGGTTAGATGTTACACGAGTTGGGGTCTCGGTAGTGTCAATCCTCACTGTCTTGGATGTCGTTACATGTGTAGGGCTCGACAAGGAGTTCAGCTCAATAACTGTGATATGCGCTCTTTTCCGTGACACCTGAGTTGCCAGCCATGATGAAGCCAAGGCGAGCCATAGGAGAAACTGGCCTGCTATGCCATCACCATCATCATCATTGTCGTCATTACCGTCATCATTAGAACAGTGTGTTTCTTCCAATGAATACATTTATAGGCTCAGATACAGAGCAAAACTACGCAAAACACGGCATAGTGCGAGATTCCACGAGCAAGGCTGCAGGTGCTCTGAGAAAGCGCAGTGATGCTAGCAGGCCTTGCTGGGAGGGCTCATAGAACGTTTGGCTTGGGAGCCGGGTTCAGGGGCTGTCGGTGAATAGTCAGATCAACAATAAGACTACATAGCTATGCTCAGGGTTTTAGTTTTGGGGGTTGTTTAACGGCTATTTAGGCCTTTCGCGATTAGCGATTTAGGCTTTGCATTTGGGGTGTGGTGTGTCGGTCTTTGGGGTTTGCAGTTGCGTAGGACTTCGGCTTTAGGCAGAGCTTGGATATCGAGGGACGGCTTTGTGGAAGCTCGCTTCTGGCAGCTGCTTAAAGCTAATTACTGTGGAAGTGCGGTAGCGGAAAGGTAGTTTCACTTGTAGTCTAGAGCACCCGCCAGATGGTGTATATAGGCGCGATAGTTGCCATAGTTGCCGATTGGATTCCATGTCCCGTTGAAGCCAGGCCAGGTCTACCCAACCCACGTTCCAAGACGTAGAAGACGCCCGAACTCCGAAATTGTCCGAAAGTACGTCCAACCCTTCACCCGGCAGGTCAGCATCACAGCTTACAGCCAAGGCCAGCGGCATTGAGTACCTCATGTAAGCCTGCAAGTCTAAGTGTGTCTAAGCACTGCAGAGGCTCGCCAGTTTTGGCATGCAAGCTTTAGGGTGGAAGTGCTTTCGGGAAGGATTTAGTGGCAGACGGGCCATTCGTTTCCGTGCCAGGTCATGTTTGTGGCGTACCAAGGAAAGCCTTCTCTGGCCGCTGTTGCTCCTGATCCGTCAAATGGTGCTATTCGGCTAGCACTGTCTCTTGCTACTCGAAGCCCTATATGATGTCATGTTCCTGCTACTGATTGCAAGCAGCGGTGCTAATAGGATCGTGGCACAAGGTTTGCCACAAGGCCTGTCTGACGACTGCGAACAAGCTTTAAGCGGACGTAGCCACGACGACGTCAACTGTTTAGTTCAAACACTGCCATGGCTCTGGTCATGACGAGGTCAAAGATTTCTGTTATGCTGCTATTACGTGCGGCCCCCCGCGTAAAGTATATGCAGCAAACTGGTTGCTGTGGTGTGCAACAAGCACTGGAGAAGGTGTCAGTTTCAACCGGAAGAAACCGGCGGTGTTATGGTTGAGGGTTCAGGTGTAGGTGGCAAGGTCGACGGCTTTGGTGTTACATTGGGGTTTCCGAAAATTAGGGGTACCTATCTTGGGGTCCTTCTAATCAGGATCCTACCATCCTGGGTACTATTTTGGAGTCCCGCATTTTCGGAAACTCCCAGATCGGGTCAATGTTCGGAAGCCGGGAGGCTGGCAGTTCGCCAGCAGACGTCTTTGCTCACCCCAGGCAGGGGCCTCGGTGCAAAGACTTGAGAGTGTGTAGCTTCAGGTTTCCCCGAGAGGGTCCAAGTATCATTATGGTATATACTTAGACCCGGACCCTTTGGGTGCATGAGTCTTGTAGCTTTTGCCAGCCGACCGTGAATCCCAGCTTGGAGTGGGTCCGGCAGAACTCCAAGTCCAGCACAGAGGCTCAGACTCAAGCAAAAGCTTGAGCTAAGTTTGAGGGTTCAGGATGTGCCGTTGTACCAGATTCTACCCAGTGGGAAACCAGCAAAAAGACATTGCCAGTCCTTCATGTCAAGCATTGAGCTGAACCTGCCCCTTCACCTCCGATCCCTGGGGTTTGTTGAATCGAACCTTTGCAGGGCCCCTCCGCCAACCTCGATCTACGGCAAAATCTACGTCGGCGTTCCCCCACAGGCTGCGGCTACGCCAATTCTGTCTGAGACAGCGAGTTTGTCAGAATGGCTTCGGTTGTCATGTTTTGTCGCAGGGGCCTCCACATTGAAAGCCATTCAAGAAAGCCGGTCGAACATTGCATCTCTCCACTCTGGACTTCCGCGACCCTGTCGAAAGGAGTTCTTAGTCGTGTTTGACACCAGCAGCGGCAATGTCATTCTCCCGGCCAGGAGCCGCTTTCTTTTTGAAATCTAATCATTCCTGAGGCTTGGCATCAGACACTCAAAACTTGACTGGAGCCCAATGTGCAGTCCCCAAATTCGCCTGGGTGCTCTACTACCCATCCCTGATAGACTTTGTCTTGGTGTCAAGTTCTCAGCCATCAAGAGCCAGGAGTTGCGAGTCCGCTTCATGCATGACAAAGCATCGGTATGACAAGCTGCTGAGCGCGACATCGAAGCAGGCTCCGGCTAGTTTCCAGCGACTGGGATGTACGTGAGAATTAGGGTTGTGATGGCGAAGCCTTCTAGGACAGGCATTGAGAAAGCTGCGAATAGAGAGAGAGAGAGAGATCTGTGATGACAACTGTATTTACAAACAATTGATGTTAACTGGTTGACAGTGGGCTACTCAACACGTTTTCACGTCCTCCCAAAGATCCCCCAACAAACAAGGGGGGGCCAAGTGGCCGGGGGACTTGACCGTCCCTCATGCCCTGGAGGAGGAGAGAGAGAGAGAGAGAGAGAGAGAGAGAGAGAGAGAGAGAGAGAGAGAGAGCAAGCAAGAGAGAGAGAGAGAGAGAGAACCAGAGAGCCAGACATGCATGCGCAAGAAGTTTGACGAGTCTTGCTCCAGATGCCCTGAGACTTTAACACCAACATCCAAACTCGTAGTCTGCAAGGACGGCCGTTCTGGACGAACTTTGTAGATCAAGCAAGAAACCTGCTGTCACACTCCCCATCTAGCGAATGCCGAACCTTCTTTCAGTGCGTGAGTGAATGAGCACGGAATGCAGGGATGCATTCGAAAGTTCAGGGGCCGAGTGGTTGGTGGGCGATGGAGTCTGAGTGAGCGAGCAGCTGATGCGCGTAGCATATGCGGCCGTTTTCTTGTTCGGCCGGGATCTATGTAGCTCTATTTGCTTCGCATGCCTGCAACACCGACTCAGCCACTGCGTGGCAGGTGAATGCCTCGCAAAACGAGGTGGCACACTCCCCAGCTTCCGGCATCACTTGGAGTTTCCTTCAACTGTGTTCCCAGCAAAAGACCCTCACACCCGATCTACAAACGCACACTCACGCACATACATATGTATATATATACTCACACTCACCCGCGCACACACACACACACACACACACACAAACACACACTCAAGGAAAGGGCAGGCCAGGCCTCATGTTGTGCTTTGCAAGCTCAGCTTCTTGGTGCGGTGTGACCAAGCCTGGCTACAGTAGAACGTGCACCTCGAAACTCACGCCCTCTTTCTGCCCTCTAATATGTGGTGGCGGCTTTGTACTGCCGAAGTCAACCACAGTTTGAGGGCCCAGGCCTTACAAACAAGCGCGAAACGGCTCATGTTCTGGAATGCATCTCTTCGCAGGCATTTGGCATGAGACCAAGAAGACTTTTCAATGCAACAATAGCGCCAGAGGGCACATCATCAACAAGGTCTTTGTCTACCACTCTGACGCCTCGGACTTTGTTGAGTTACAGCGACGCTGATAAGGCTAACAGGAGCAGCAACTGTACACTACGTATGTCGTACTTGTGAGTATAACTGCAAATATCCCTACATAAATATCAGTGTATAGTTACGTATGCAGACAGAGGGTATATGCAGTTTATAAGAGTTTTCGTATACAGAACAAGTTATAGCTATGTTCCGTCTCTATATGCCAAACTTTAAGTTATAAGCAACTTTTTCACTTATCGCCAGAGGGCGCAGCCATGGCGCTGCCTTCGGCAAGCTGACCCAAGTTACGGTTGGTTCGGAGTTCGGTGGTTTGGGTTGAAGCTTGAATTCTGAGGCTCTTCGTGCTTCATGGGATCATGTCGACCACAATGCAAAGCGACTTTGGAAGTGCTGACCCTTTTAAACCTTGAACCCTGTAGCATTGTCGCAGCCCAGGCATGGTTGGACCAGGCATTCTACCCTTTACTGCTTCTGGTGGCGGCCCTCTGGCTCACGGAGCTCGCCGCGCAATGGAAAGCCTGCCAGCGGAGGTGGACTACTATCATCTTGTTAGTATTATTGTTACTATATATTACTGTACTGTTTGTATGAGGTATTAGTTATGAAACTCACTACTATTCGTACTAATGTTACTCTTTATGTTTGCTGTATAATTTTGCTTTACTACTTGTTAGTGTTTCGGATGCGCAGAGGGACTGCAGTGCAAGATGTAGGCTGCGGCCCATACGCATGCATCGTAGTCACGCAGTGCAGGATACAGCCACGCAGAGTTACGCAGCAAGCCACGGCTCGGTGTTCCGGGTTGGAACTGGAAGAGTTCTTCCTTGCAAGCCTGTTTTCTATGATGATACCCGTAAGCCGTAAGTATTCACACTTCAACCCCCATGCTTCACGGTTCGCCTCAATTAAGCCCTCTCTTAGTCTCGAGCTCTAAACCCCGCCCGGTCAATGCCTTATAGACCCAGCTCCTTCCAAGCCTTGACCTCCAAGCCTGCAGACCCTGCTTGGAGGATCAGGGGACTTAGTAAGTAAGGTTATAAGTACCCTATTTGGGGCTGTAAGTAATTACAAGTATGGTTACCGTATTTATAACCCTAATTACTAACTCCCATGATCCTTTAAGTAAGCGCGCAAAACCTGAGCTCCACGTGCAGGCCCTAAGTCCGGAATCCTCAAAAGTATAAATATTAGTATTAGTATTCATAGTAGTATTAGTGTTCATATTAGTATTAGTATTAATATTAGTATTAGTATTGATATTAGTAATAAGCCTCAAACATTCAACCCCTCCCACTCTCGCCTTCCTAGCCCCAGGAATGGGACGAAGCCTGGACATAACTTACTAAGCTGCCCGTACTCTGAATCCCACAAGCTTGACCGAGAGGAAGCGCACAGCCGCTGTGAAGTGTCCTCCTGCACCTTCCGATGCATCGACGACTCCAGGTATCCAGTCGAAAGATGTGAAGATATTGTAAGTTTCGTAACTTTATAGTCCTTGCGATTCATTATTACAATATGTTCACAATTATATGCCAACAGAGACAGACTTTTTTATTCCAATGTATGGCCCTATACTGGACTGCCTGTCTTGAGAGGAACTGCCTTCAGTACGATCGGGTTTACCTGTCTCCAAGTTCGCGAGCGTGTTGAGTTCCACTCCAAGAAGTGGCAAAACACGCAGTCTCGCGCAGAGAAAGCTAGACATTACCTAGTAGTATCGCCGGTTTCTTTCACAACTCAGGACGTTTTGGGGTGCTTAGGCCAAACCTGTCAACATGCCACGGCCCCCACCAGCACTGAGGAATGGAAGAACGGCGCTCATTTCGAAAGCATAGGATTCTTGTGCGTGCAGAAATTCACTTTAGGAACAGAATCTTGCAGCCTTTGCGTGCACCTTCACAAGCTGCCCTTGAGGCATGCTATTTCCAGATGGGAGTTTCCGAAAATAGGGGGTGCATTATTTGGGGTGCTGATAATAAGGATCCTACTATTTAGGGTACTATATCAGGGTCCCCCCCTTTTCGGAAACTCCCACACGTACGCTTGGCTGGCTGCACAAGGCCCCTCGCCGGGCAGCCCAAGCTCCGTGATCTCCAGCAGCTACCAGGAAGCTTGCCGGGCATTTGCTGCAGAACTCGCGATGCCCATAGTAATCAAAACCAAGCGGTAGCGAGTCTGAGCATCCGGTTCGTGATATCATGTCGTCATAGTGCCTACAGACCATTTTGGGCGAGTGCTTTGGAGCGGTATCCCCGGCATAATTGCTTGGGATGTGGACAAGGAGAGGCTTGGTATACCATGTGGTTTCGTATTTCAAGCGTTTTATTTCGTAATTCAGACTAATTACGCATGCCAATTTCTTTCGTTGTTGCCAACGCCAGCCTGGACCGGAGGATGAATCGAATGACACCGCTGGCATCTGTGCCCCTTCTCGGCAAGGAATGTAGGGCCACACAGGCTCTTTCGTGCTTTCATGTTTCTCAAGCAGGCACTGCAAGAGGTCCTCTTAATTACCTTTGGCATGTCTCGAAATTGGCGAAGTTCTCATGTGAGGAAAGCAGCCTATGGCGGAGCTCCACTGAAGCCCAAAGAGCTCTTTGAGATTTCCGAAGCCTTCGATGAGCTAAGGACTTGGACCCCTTCACCTGGTGCTGGGCCGGTAGGCAATCAGCAAAGGCCGGACATTTTCAGTTCAGGCTGAGTTTTGTATAGTCTTGATGTAAGTATTACTCTAGGACCTTTATAGTGAACTTCGTGGTAAGCCTCATGGAACCCGAAAGCACAATGTGGCTTTCTGGGCTTCAAGTTAACAGGCTTCGGGGCTGGCTCCACACCTCGGGCTCATGTTGATGTCGTACTGGCACATTGTGCACATCTTGATGCTGGATGCAGTCCTCCCCGACGAACGATAGACCAAGATATCATCTGTCGCCGTGCTGGATCCACAAGACCAGTAGCAGTAGCAGTAAGCAACCATTCGTTGTCTGCCAAGCAACCAAGCACCATCAAATGTTCTATCTGTCCTTGTGGGTCATTGATCAAGCTGTTTCTCCACCTGGCCAGCCCTGCGAAATTCCATCACCGATTTTCTCCCACAGAAAGCATGTCATAAGATGTACTCGTAGTATCGACAACAAAGAGTCGGATACTCATCGCTCCTGCCGTAGAGCCAGCAGTTTGCCAGTTGAAAGAGCCGTCAGGATCTTGTCGATGAGGCAACGTACCAGGACAGGGAGATCATAGAGCAACCTGGTCGCATGGACGATTCTGTGCTTCCTCCGGCATCTCGAGGTTGGGACCCTACAGAAGGATCAATCTGCTGCAGAGATCGGATTTCGGAGCTTCGGTTTGTAGCTTCTGCTCCGAAATGCCACCTTAAGAACCCCGAGCTGAGGATGAAGTTCGGTGCGCCCAGGCCGGGTTCAGGGTTCCGGGGTGACTGAAGCTGGGCATGTTACCGTTAAGGCAGTGATCGAGTTTTGCCTGAGTAGGTGCTGGCAGTTCATGTTTCCGGAAAGGAGTGCCGCTCCCTAAATCCGCATTGGTACAGCTCTGTGAAACGTATTATGGCACCTGCTTTGCTTGATTCACCGGACATTTCTCGCATTGACACTGCCACAGTTTCTTGCAATGAGCTCAAAGCCCACAAACCCCCTGCCCACGCCGCCCTTTCGCCGTGCAAGCCGATGGGCCCTATAAACCTTATACAAACCACTGTATCGGTGACACCTCAAGGCTTCGTTCGTCACAGGTCCGAAATTTACAATCTCGGCTTCTATCCCATCAATGAGGACATCCCAGCTTTGGTTGAGGCCTGCTGACTCGCTGGGCGTTCACGAGACAACCCTGAATACAAGTGCGTGGGGCTTTGAGTGAGACTGCGCCTCATCTTACAGCTACAGCTGAAGCACGTTAAGCTAAGCCATGATGCCCTATGCCACGTCTGTACGACCTGCTTTTGCCGACATGATTCCTGGGTGCAGGTTGCTGTTCGTGACGAGTCGAAGCGCAAGGACTGTTCAATACACCGTTTCGCTGTCTCTCTTCTCCCTCTCTCTTTCTCTCTCTCTCTCTCTCTCTCTCTCTCTCTCTCTCGTTCGCCTGATGCTTGCAGTGGCCAGGGTGTGGAGCAAAAGCTGCGACAGCTGCGCCGGCTGTCTGAAGCGACGAGTCACAACCTAGGGCCCTACGGCACCCTGCACATCATCTCTTCTCTGTTCAGGTTTCAGGTTGGCAATTGGCTGTGGGGGGCTCCGTCGTTCCATAACCGTGACCTTAACAGTACCAGGAGATTTTGCCAACGTGCAGGTGCTACGATTGCTGCTGCTGCTGCTGCTGCTGCTGCTGCTGCTGCGCCTTCCAGCGTTGCTGGTCCCACTGAGAGAGCACCATGGTCCACCGCAACCTTTTTGCGCTGCACGTGGCAACCTTTCCATGTCCAACCACGTCCACCAAGCATGATCTGATCAGCCCATGTAACCGCATTCCCGTCAGATCATCAATGCTCCAGCAAAGCAGAGAAAGTCTATAAAAGCTCAGGGTCAGGTGCCAGGGTTAAGCAGCCTCCGACTCTGACATTTGTTGTTATTTCAGTGTTCAGTCCAAGACTGAGAGACCAAGCTAGGTGAAATATTGACTTAAGTAGCGTATATAGTTGTACGTACTTCCAATCCGACTTGCCATTCCAGTCACTTGGTTCCCTTGATATGTTCTCCCAAATAAGGGATTGAAAGCTTCCTCTCTTTCGACTCTGCCCAGGACTTGCCTCCGTCTGGTTGGGTTCAGACCAGGGATCCGCGAGTGTTGCTAAGGCGGGTTCGGGTTGCTGGTTGCGGAAGTTTAGAACTGATGGGTTTAGGATAGGAGACACCTTTCCTGTTCGGTCTTCCAGAGTTTTTGTGGCCGCAGCTTTGCTCAAGGGCTCTTACCGTCGTGGGTGTTGCTGTCGTTGGCCATGCTCCTCTAATCCTGATCACGGTGAGCACCCGAAGCATGCAACCCATCATACAATACTACAACAAAAGAATGATACGCATCGTAATACTACTACGAATAGTAATGATCACAAGCATAATCATCATCATGATCATAAGAACAGAACTAAACAGTCATGATACGAATACTGCCGTAATATCTCGCAGTTTCACAACAACGAGAATCAAAAGCTCCCAAACTTGGGATGGCAGGTTTCTCCTTGCCCGACAATGCAGTGTGGAGCGGGCAGCCTGGCACTTCAGCTTGTGGTTTGGCGTTTGGGAGGGTTTAACGTTTTAGGGTTTGTAGGGTTTAGGGTTCAGGGTTCAGGAATAGGTTTGTTGAGGCTCTTTTCCACGGCCGCGAGGTCCGGGATGAAGACACGATATTTGGAATCCCGAACCTTGGCCTTTGGCTTGTAAGAAAAATAGAAACCTTGCATACCATTCCCTCGCACCCAGAGTAGGTACCGTCCAGAACGGCAGCCAACAGCGATGATGTAGGAGCCCCAAGATCAGGTCATCCCCTGACAGTTCCCGAATCTAGTTTACAACGCATGACGCTTAAAACAGTTTCTTGTCGCAGGCGTTGGAAATGCTGCAGTCGGTTCTGACTTGGCGGCAGCAGAACGGTCCCTGTGAGCTCAAACTGATGAAGCCGGGTTTGAGGGTTCCAGGGTTTCTACTATGTCTACGTGGTATTCCTTTTTTCGGGTTGGATGGGGAGTGCACTGACCATGCATCCCTCGAACTTGCTTGACTGTTGAAGATTTGACATGGCATGTTTGGAGACATGTCCCATTCGCAAAGAAGGACTGGTGCGGCTATGCCATGGTAGAAACGTGACAAGACTGCAGCCACACACGCACGACTGAATAGGTCCAACCTAGTCCATCATGGTAGCGTGTCTTTTGTTACTTCGACCGTTTGTAAGGCCTGGTATGGATTGCACATCATTTCTCTGTCCTGGTGCATCCATGCGATGGGATTCTGGCTTCCGGTTTCGGGGAGCGAAATAGCAGAGTGGATCAAACCTTATTCAAGCTTCGATTGCGGGGATTGTGCGAAGAATCCGGTATTTGAGTGTGCTTTCTTTAGTTGGCATGCCCGCGAAAATCATGCGTCTCCATGCACCGGACCTCAGTTTACAGGCAAACAGCCTGTCCGGCCAACCACATGCCATCGATTCAATAGTTCTCGGGTTCCACAGCCCGTTGCCGCTGCAAGGATAGGATTCGAGCACATATATTCTAACAAGTTATTGGGATGGTCTTACTACTTACTCAGACCCCTGTAGTAAACGCTTATGAAATCCTACATATCGCAGACAAGGTGCTGCCAACGCGCTCCCACTTTGGAATAAGGCCGTGGGGGCTTTGGATCGGTCTGGCGAGTCGATACGTACCCAGAGAGCCCAATACCCCTTAATTAAGGAATATACCTTAAATTATCAGGGGATTCATCTTATGATTTAAGCTGCATTCCTTAATTGAGGGTTATTGGGCTCTGCGGGTAAATCCTTGTCGTGGCTGGTTCTTCAGGGAAGTGCTTTATTGTGTATTGTATGTTAAGTTAACATAGTATAACAGATTTTCAGTTACAGATTGAAATTGAATATTCTAATGTACAGTGTGGATCATCTATTATATAGTTCTGTTCTTATGTACTCTCTCTCTCTGTATATATATCTCTGTATATATATATATATATGTTATATTATATATCAACCATGACACATTTCACATATTATTTACAATATGTTACATACTGTATGATCTTTGTTATGTCTTGTTTCTTGGACACTAAAGCATCTACCATTATGTGATGTGGTATAACCTACTGTATGTTTTATGTTCCACGCTATAAGGTATGCAAATACATATGTATATGTATGTATGTGTATACATATTGACTGTTTAAGATACAATGTTAGATTACATATTCAGTTTTACATGTTACATACTATTTTTGTACTTTTTTGTATTATTCAAAGTGTGTTATCTGTTCTACACTAAATATTATGCAGATGCTTGGGTTTCATCTCACTGCATCTCGCCATTCTTGTGCTACCCCATTTGAACCTTCCTGTGCTCCCCGCCCTTTACCACTCTGGCTCAGGATACTCGGAAACCTTTTTGGTACTTAGACCGACAAAGCAACACCTGCCGAGTCCACGGAGTTTGAGGGTTTTAGGGTTAAGGGATGCAGTTGTACGGGGGAAATAGGGCTTCAGGAGGTTCTGTCAGCCCCAAAGCCTGCAGGTGAAGCACGAAAGGTTTGACTTCTACTGGAAAGCCTTCGGCTGCACTGGAATCGATCGCGAGGGCGACCCCGTCGTCTTTGAGAGGCAAGCTGGGGGCTGACAGCTGCAAAGCAGAATTGCGACAGCAAGAAGACAGTATGGGAGTTGGCTCCTCTTCATTGTCCTCATCCTGGTTCCCAGAAGCATCATTGCATCGACCATTACCGTCATCGCCATCATCACCACTGTCGTCAATATCATCATCGTCGCATCGCCATTAGATGTAGCAGCAGCGGCCACCATGCTATTCCTCCTCTTGGTTGCCGCAGTCGTCAGTTGTTGTTGATGCCATTCTCGTCGTAGGCTTCACGGCTCAAACAGTAGCTTCATTGCAATAGCAACAGCAGCGGCAGCCGATGCTGCCATCGCCACATCAGCAGCAGCGTAAACAAAAGCACCATCAGAAAGCAAACAGGGGCTCACGGAAGTACGGCACAAAATCACGGAGGGAGAGGCCTGTTTGCTGCAACACCAACAGGTAATACTAACCAAGAGACAGCTGGTTGGCGACACCGTCGGCAACCACATGGACGACAACACGAGCCGAATGAATCCCACATAGCCTGATAGACATAGTGACAACCAGTGGACGATGACATCACCAAGAAAAGCGGCGACAGCAATAACAGCAGTCTCCGGGCAGCAGCACAACCACCACTGCCGTCACCAGCTCCACCACCAGCAAATGAAAACATGAGTAGACCAGCAACAGCAGTTGTTGCAACAGCAGCGATAACCGTAACAAGGATGCCGCCACTCGTCATCCGCAACCCATGCTCCAACTTTCTGAACTCGGTTTCAGTTTGTTCTGATGAGCACGTCGAGAGGTGGCAGGCCCAGGTGGCAGCCACCATATGCCTTCCCATTTCTGTAAGGGATGTAATCGTCATATACAGCTGTGTATGTAAAACATAGAAACTTCTATGGGTAAACAAACATGTATGCATACATGTGTGTATATATATATAGCCAAGCGCACAATATCCAAGCGCACATGATATGTCAAAGTGTATGCACACTGACACATACGTTGAGATACATATAACAATATATACATATACACACACGCACAAGTTTTGTATGTCACTCCATATTTGTGTGTGTATAGCTGTATGTACAAGTATTATCTATGTACATATAGTTTTACTTACATATCCGTATATATTCGTGTGCATGTTTGTATACACATACACATACACACATTTATTTATATATATATATATATATATATATATACAAGTTTACACACATACACACATAGAGAGACATCATGCATACATGCATGCATACATGCATGCCTACATACACACGCACACATACACAGATGCACACGTACATGCATACCTGCATTGCCTGCATACATACATTCATGCATGCCTGCGTGCATGCTTACATTACATGCATAGATATGCACATCCACTTATTAATTCATTCGTTCGTTCGTTCATACATACGTACGCACATACATACCTTGCCTACTTGCACGGTCGACTATATGCATACAGTCTTACATACTTACATGCATGCATGCGTACATAGATGCATGCATACATGTACGTACATACATACATACATACGCAAATACATATTACTCCGGACTTGATGCAGGGTGGGTCAGCTCGACGTTCCGGGCCTGGTCAAGTGCAACCCAGACTTCATCAAGCAGCACTGCATCTACAATGCCGCTCAGTTGGGAAGCTTGCAGACCTGCAGTTCTGGACACATTCGCGCAACTATATGTGATGTACTTATTAACAAACTAGCTATCCACCTATCTGCCCATTTATCGGTCTATCGACCTATCCATCTATCTGTTTACCTGTGTATCTCTGTCTCTCTCTCTCTATGTACATGTAGATGAAACATATATATATATATATATATATACAGATATAGATATATGTCATGTAAGCGTTGAGCGACAGAGAGAGAGAGAGAGAGAGAGAGAGAGAGAGAGAGAGAGACACACACACACACACAGGCAGAGGCACAAATAGGGGCAGAGGCAGAGATAGAGACGGAGATAGAGACAGAGATAGAGACAGAGAAAAAGAGATAGAAAGACAGAGAGGTAAAACCAGAAAGATTCAGAGCCACCGTGCGTTTTGTTTCATTGAAGTCATCTTGCCAGGCCGAGTGTGTTTTCGCCAGCTTGGAAATCGGAAGACGGCGGTGTCTCAAGCAGGACAGCCGCCGTGGTTTCCAAGTCACAGTTGTCGTCGATATGACCGGCCTCAACGTGTCTTTCATGGATCGAAAAGCACTTGCCTTGTGACTTGGCCTAACCGTGACTTGTTCTAGGCTTCGGTCTTCGGCCTTGGAACGGCTAGTGTAGCACTCCCTAGACCCGAGATGCAGAACTGAGATTCAGGTGCCAGCTGGTGTCCAGGGTTGAAGCCGACAACTACCCGGAAGCCTTGAAGCGCGTCATCGTGATCCGGGCCCCCTGGATCTTTCCAGCTATCTGGAACTTTTGCAAGCCCTTCTTTGACAAGGGAACCTTGGAGAAGGTATGCATTGTGAAGGAAAGCGAGACGGCGGATGTGCTGCTGAAACATATTCCCGCGGAGAGCGTGCCAAAGGCTCGCAAAGGGGATTCAGTATTGTATTATGTACTTCTCAGGCAGGACCACAGGTCGTCGTGGATTAAGTCTTTACTGCAGTTCCCCCCTACAGGCACTCGGCGGGACCTTATCTGGTGACAGCGGCGACGACTACTGCTCTTCGATTATTGCTCCCGGCGGAAAGATACCTGAGGATGTCATTGCGATGACTCACTCCAACTAAACTCAGTAGCTCGTTATTTTTCCAAGTGGCTCTCAAACCAAGGGCACCATGTCCGGCTCCGTCGATGAAGCGCCCGTTAAGAACAAAAGAACCGTCATAGTCTTTTCTTACAACTCCTCGACGCGGATGTGTGCTTGAGTTTGATGCAGCAGGCAGGAAATGGTTAGAAGCAGCTTTTGTGCCTTGTGACAGCATTCCCTGGGCGACTCAATCCTGATTTTCCCTGAGCCGGCTAGGCTTGGCGTCCACAGGGCTCCTGGAACTTCGGAAAATTATGCTCACGTGCCCTTGTCAGGCATTGTCTAGTCAGCTAAAGCACAGAATCCTGGGAGGCTAAGGTTGTCTAAACTGTCCTCCCAGGAAGCAGGAAGGGCTGAGCACAGTGATTTGTTGGCACCTTGGGCACGTTGTCGAAGTCCCACCATCTTACTTCCAATTGTGATCTGGCAGTTGGCGAGGACACTCAAAGAGAGTGAGCTTACGCTTCCTGCGAGGTCGCCAGAGTTGACAGCATCACCAATGCACTCGCAAAATGAGAGGTCCCTTATTGAGGGTCTGTACATCCCATGGATACCAAAGCACTCTACGATGTCTTCAATGTGTCGATTTCACGACGATGAGATTTGCCTCGAAATATCCAAAGAGCCACCAACACCTGCACTCCTGTTCGGATCCGCAGTGCAGGGGCCTTCATAGTCAGACTAGGGATTTGAGAAGCTTGGGAGGGCTTATTATGGTATCATCATAATTAGTTATAGTACTTAACAGCGAAGACTAATTTTAGTATCGAGCAAGGTCAGCTTTGCCGTTGGCAAGGGGAACGTCGCTGGGAAGTCTAGCCAGGACAAAGCAGGGGCCCCAAAAAATTCTGCTCAGCTTGTGCTTAGAGGGTGGGCCGACTCCGTATGATTTCGAAGATGTTGATCGGTTTGAAGTTCTTAGGCTCTTCGGCTCTTGGCTTAAAGTGTCTCGGGACAGGGTCTCTTCGGTAGTCTTCAAAGTCTTGCACTGCCCCGGCTAGGGTTCAGGGTTCGTGACCAGCAGATCTATGCTGCAGCTGCAAATTGGTTGTACTTCCGCTCCATCTACATATGCTGCAACTGGCATGTCCGCACGTGTTTCTAAGGCTACACGTTGCACAGAAGCAGGATTTCCTTGACTTCCGAAGATTCAATCCAAAGCTGAACTGAACTCCTACCCTTCGACAAGAGCTGGCAGGTGTGTCTCAGCCCGCAGAAAATCTGCGCGGACACCTTGCTCGTGGAAGCGACCGAGATGTCCCCCGCTTGCAAGTTGTATGTGTATATGTGTGTATGTATGTATGTATGCATGTATGTCAATGTATGTATGTATGTATGCATGGATGTATGTATGTATGTATGTATGAGTTCTTGCTAGATGATGGAGTCTCCCGGATTCGCTCACTGTGCAGCTGACTGATTTCCGGTTGCCTGCCGCGATGGGCTCAGCCCCGAAATTTTGTGCTTATGTCCGCCTGGGAGCCACATCATCGTCGTTCGATGCGTCGTCGGTGCGCTCTAGTTCAACATGGTGTGCCAGTTTCTGTCCATTAAGAACGATTGTTGTTTTTTACCAAGTCTGGCTGTGGTACGACTTATCCGGATCATCAGAGAACGCTTTGAGACACTCGGACGTCGTCGTGATTGACTCGGTTTCTCCTCGCCGTGATTGTGCCCGCACGAGAGTCGCGCACTTGCAGCGGGCAGGTCTGATGAGCCCTTCAGCATCGTCCCACACCCAGCACAGGGCAAAGTGCTTCGATCGGGACTTGGATCTCCTTCTGCAGGTTATAAGGATGCGGGATCTTTCGGGGATGAGGGCTCATGCATAGACGATAGACGGTAGAATCAGAAGAGCCGAGCTGGAAGGAAGGGCACGAGAGCGGAGAAAGCCGAGGGTGGGGAGAGATGGACATAAGACGAACAGTTATAAAGGAGGATGTGTGACGCAGGTTACGTAGATTGCATGCATACTCCGCGCATTTCTGCAGACGTGCAGGCACGTGACACGAAGTACTTAGTCGGTAGATGGATGGATGGATGGATGGATAGACACGTGCAAGAGTGTTTCTTTATATGCACTGGTAGGTGAGAGTTTAACCTGCATACACGCATACAGACAACCGAACGGACAGATAGACATGCAGACAGTGACAGCTAGGAATGTAGATAGATGTCGCGATAGGTAGACAGGTCTTCGAATGAGTATATTTGTATTGATGTATGTATATATGAAGGCATCATGTCTGGATGGATGTGTGTATGTGTTTCCGAGCATGCCAATCTCAATAGTCAGCTGTGTAACTTTGCAGGAAAGCTTTGAGCCTTTTTGCCTGAGATTTCTGAGGGGGGTTAGACTTGCAGATGCAGGGAAAGAAGCTCCGGATTACTGGCAATTTCGAAGACTGCGGTGGCTGACGTGATTGCGACCGCACAAATTTAGAGCTAAATTATCGAATCCCAAGCTCAGAGCCATGTCTAGAAAGTCCTAAATCCTTATAGAGCCCTTTGCAGGAGCCCTTATAGTAACCTTTTAAAGGAACCCTTGAGTTCCCTTAATGTTGGAAAATCCCAAATCTGCACGCTTCGAGTTTCCTTTCGACGGCGTGGTTGGCCTGGGCATGCCGAGCCTGTCCTTGACCAAGGCAGAAGATGGCAGATGCACTAATCAGTTGGGGAAAAATATGTTTTCCCCCGGTATGTTTGTGCTTCCGTCTCTCTGTGCGTCTGTGTGTGTGTGACTGTGTGTGTATTGCTGTTCTTGTTATTGTTGAATGTTGTTTATGTGCATATATGAATATAAATATGAATGCATCTGATTGCTCGTTGCCTCGCTTGACTGGACTAGGACGCAGCGCCCCCCCACTTGCACATTCTGAACCCAACTGGTGCCAGATCTGAAACGTCCGGGGACAATCGTCATGGCAGCTCTGCAAAGGTTGGTATCAGTTCTGAAGAGTGAGCCTACCCGTACACTGTAAGTCGGCAAGTTCTTGGTTTAGTAACATTGCCTAAGCGCATTTGCCAGCGTCTGGCCAATTGACTACTTTCCGCTTCGGCTAAAGCATCATGAGCCCGAGTCTTTCCATAGAACACCATTACAATGCGTGTTGCATTCGTGTTATTTCTGCTGCTTCCTTCCTCTTCCTCTACGACGATGACGATTGCGGCGAAACTGTAAATTCCTCAACCCCGAAGACCCAAGGCCCGAAGCCCTGACTAGTGCTACTGCTGCTGCTGCTGCTGCTGCTGCCACGACGACTACCACTACGGTACTACTACTACTACTACTACTACTACTACTACTACTACTACTACTACTACTACTACTACGACTACTGCTACTTCCGCTTTGGCTCTTCCACGGCACTCCCGTGCCCATGCTGTAATGTTGCTTTTTCCTGAGCCCCGCAGATGCACAACTTCCTGGGCAATCTCGCAGATGTCGCTGCCTGAGACTTTCATGCTTAGGGCTCAGGGTCGATTCGAAGTGATGGTCCAGGATATAGGCATGGCAAAGCTGAGCCGGAGGGGGGATTCAGGCTTGTACTGCATGCGTGCAACGCGAAGCCCTTTGCATGGGCTTATGCTGCAACAATAGCAGATGTAGTTTTCCGAGGAGGTCTTACTGACTGACTATCGGAGAACTTGTGTCGCACTTGTGTCGCAGCGCACTTCCAATTCGGTTCGTGGTCTCAGTCCTTACAGCAGATGCGAGGAACAGGGTTTCGTGAAGCCTTTGTCTGAGGCAAACCAGCTTGACAAGGATCGTTTTGCCGTCTGGATCGCCACGGAGGCAGTTCAAGGGTTTCCACCACAGGGGCCTTCATGGTAATCAATAATCAAAATGGGCTTTTGGAGGTTTTTTTTCTCACAGTCGGAACAATAGGAACCCGAAGGCCCGAAGGAATAGTCCTGTCAAGTGTTCAAAGCTTCTAGCTTGCCCTTGGATCGGTCATCGAATCTTCAAGCAATACCTTTACCTTTTACCTTAATCTCCGAAACCGTACAGTTTTAAGGACTTGTATCAGGAGACCTGAAAAAGGTGGGTTTCTTAGGATCCAGGTACGGTGTGACAAACCGGCGGCAGGGAAAGGAGAGTTGGTCGATCTCACTTCCCCCTGCGACCAACGGCCCCAGAGCGGCCCCTCGGCCTAAACCCCGCACAAAATGAGCCCAAACCCTAAACTCCTAAACCCTAAACCCTAAACCCTAAACTCCTAAACCCTATAAGCCCTAAGCTATCAACCTGCCAGGATGACAAGGAGGACTCTGAGATCAGTTTCGGAGCCTTGCCGCCCAACCGACTGGGCTCAGAAGTTGCCTGGCTGCCCCTCTCTTCGACGACTTCGGGTCTGTGGCAGGCAGAGCCAGCTGAAGCATTCTAAGTAATATAGGGGTCCTTAATGATCAGACTAGGGTTTCGGGGCCCACTATACTATGATTATCATAAGGAGCCCCCAAAATAGTATGGGTAGTTATTATAAGGCTCCTATATTATTTGGCCCAAAAGTTGTCAGGCTAAAGGCACTGGAGGTTCCTGCATGGGTTTATGGTGTTTCTGTTCGCAGCATCAGAGCTGGTAGGATGATGGTACGATACAGGGGAGAGGTCGAATAAAGATATTCCATTCTCTCGGAAGGTGGAGATGTCTGACGTCACCCTCAACTTAGTCCGCCTGGATGTTTGTAAGAAGGGGTGCCACGCAGCTTTCGACACTGGCTCGGGCATGATCTCTGGGCCCAAGCACCTGGTGGAGGCGATAAGTCAGGAGCTCAATGTGGCCACCGACTGCTCCAACTACGATGAACTGCCCGCGCTGGGCTTTGAGCTGGGAGGAGTGACGTACAATTTGGACAAGTACGAGTACGTCAAGCGAACCAGCGAGGGCTGCTTCCCTCAGCTCCAATCCACCGATGAGGCAGAGGCCTCTGACGCTTCCACCTTCTTCTTGGGAGCGCCCTTCCTCACGCGCTACGTGACGGTTTATGATCGAGTCTTCCTGCGGATGGGCTTGGCATTCGCAGTGCATGCCAATGAGCCAACAGGGGAGAGCTCCGAAGGCGCCATGAAGCGCCTCATGGGGCGACCCAGCCTCGGCCGTGCCTCCGCGAAAGAGTCTGAATAGAGCCTAGGCCTGTGCTTGGCAGATCCTGCCCGCACGCGCAAAGCTGCAATATTGGGCTACTGTTGACACGATGCATCACTCGCGGGCCTGCCCGCGGCGAGTTGACAAAAGCCCAGACCTAAGTGAGGCCAGGAAGGCGTCTTTGAGCTCAGCATGAGCAGTGCCCTCACAACACTTGCTCCGGCATCATGCCTGAGTTTTTGTACCGCTGTGCAGGTACAAGATAAATCAACCATTGTCGCCGCCATATCTGGCTCTTGTGATACTAGTAACAGTGTCTTGGAGGCACGGTTTTTTTTTTACAGATGCTAGCAACCGAAGCTGCCCTAGCCGAGCGACCCAGTCTGTACGACATCTGCCCATGCGACATCAAGTGCATTGGGCAGTGCTTTCGTGTCCACATCTCCTGCCGGAGCATTGCGCTTGACGCATTTCGCCACCATGCCGACCGCAGACACGGAGAAGAAGGTGAACATGCAGAGGACGTGAGCCCCTCCGGTAGGTCCCAGTCGAGAGCTGACTTTGGAGGTCTATAGTCAATACCTCAACCTCCCAAAAGTAGGCCAAATAATGGCCCAATGCCCATAAAAGGCTATTATTCTACATACTTTTCGGGTCCAGGTACCGGTATCCGTGACAGTGGACTTAGCAGCCACGGTTGCGAAGGCTTGAGAGTCGCTTTGGAGACTGTTTGCTTGAGGTAAAGTTGCGAGGGTTGGCGACATCGACCCCAAAGTCAATCCAATGTAGTAGATTATAGTATATTACAGTAGACTCTATAGTATAGTAGAGTAGGTTGTAGTAGATTAGAGTATATTATAGTAGTAGAGTTTAGTATATTATAGTAGGTTATTATATTATAGTAGAGCAAGAAGTTGCCTTGACAGCTTTGCGCGGGATCTTGGGGCTTAGCCGATCACAGAGCAGGTACTCCGATCCTGACCTACCTCAGCTGCTGCCTCTGCCAGCACGCCCATCTTCGTCCTACGAGCCACGACCGAAGGCAGCGGAAGTTGCGGGATCCGGCGGTTCAAATGCATGTCAAGCGGCCTTTCAAGTTCTTCTGCGGCCTCGCAGGGGTTGATGAACCGTTAGTTTCCGATTCGTGTTCCGGACTGGTCGGTACACATGACGGTTCAGGTCTTGAAACCAAGTAGTACTTGGGTTGGGTCTGTGACCTGTTCGGAGTTTGGAGCTTTCAGGCTTCTAGAAACAAAGGACCTTTATAAGTAGAATAGCGTGCTGGGGCCATTCTACTATAGTTATAACAAGGAACCCCCAAGTTATCATTTATAGGCCCCGGTGTTAGGAGGTGCAGGGTGTTCGGTTTTGCAGTCAACTGTGGGATCCAGAGTCGCAGCCGCTCACGGCTGCGCGGCTGCACGTACTGGCAGTGTTTTACTGTTAGACGTTGGTTTTTCAGAGCAACTTTCTTCGAGCTTCGTCCAAGTGACTTGCTCGAGGAGCCGCCGAGATCCGAAATAGAGAACAGTTCCAAAAGCTCCGCGTCGCACAGGTCAAGGAGGCTGCCCAATTCACCGACGATGTGATGCAGGCAATGGCAGAGAAGTTGGGCGTCAATGTCATGGCAGCTCGACTGCAGACAGCATTCACGGATTTACGCACACGCACGCTCACAGGCGAAAGTATATATTATGTGGGTACATGGACCCTTAGGGACGCATACAAACTCTCACGTCGGGAGCCTAGACCGATTCGCGGTTTCGTGCAGTCTGGGTGCTCATGGCCTCCAGCTCGAGACTGGCACAAGATGTGCTATTCCAGGATCTTGCAGCGGCTATGGTCTTTATCCTATTGACCGCTTGACCGTGGACCCTTGTGCTATCATACTGCTGTTCCTCAAACTCAACTGAAGAACGTCCCATCAGCCCAGGCGCAGCCGGAGTTCAACTGGGTGATCCGAGATTGCCTGCTATCGCTTCGGGATGAAGGCTGGACGTGTCAGGCGGGGGGCAAAGTAGATTTGTTCGGAGTACGGCACGCACTTAGCAATGTGTCTGCTTGAGCGAAGCTGTTACCTTCAAAGTTCTAGAAAGGTAATCAGGTGTGCAAGGTCAACCTTGGTTAACTTTGCTCTTCCGTGTTTCGCTTTCATTGTTAACATGGTTTGTCCCCAGAGCGATGTTGGCCTTAAGGCATGAAGACGTCCGTATGACTCATGTCTAAGCCCCCGGAGAGCTCTAAACTCTAGCATCATGTTTGACACGGGGTGTCTGGAATCTGCCGAGCAGTTGGTGGGAAAGGTCCGCAGCGGTGACTTGGAGTACTGCTACAAGTACAAGGATGAGACTCGACCGTGCCACTACCTGCTTTACAGAGCTTTCGCAGAGGTTGGACCGTGCGTTTCGGAGTGGCAGTGACAACGAGTACCCTTCTGCACAGTGATCCTCAATCATCGAGAACCTTAAGTTGCGCCCTCAAAGATCGCCCAATGCTTGCCTCAGCTCCAAACACGCGCGTGCAAGGTGCTACCACCGCGAAAAACGGACAGAACCTGCAAGTGTTGCAGACCATGCAAGCTTCAAAGTCGAACATATCCGAAGCACACCTATAACCAGAACCCGCAACCCTACATCCCATGCTCCAGGTACCATCCCATCGCAGAGGCACATCGGAAACTGGCAGAGCGGCTTATGGCCTCACAGAGTGCGAGGGTCCTGGCTGTTGGGTTCATGCTTTATGTTGCACTATGCCATATTCTATGTTCCGTTAGATTTCCTGGGTAGTACAAGGGGAGCCCATGTCTGCTGAGGATCTCCAGATGAAGCACCTGGATCCACACTAGCACGGCCCTCGTCATGCCAAGAATACTTGTCGGGCTTGGAACGGAGGCTTCAGGGCTTTTGCCAAGGCTAGAGGCCGGAGATACCAGGGTGTTGGGGTACATGATACCATAGGCAAAGCGACTATAGAAGGAGACTATTACGAATTTGAAGGGGTTACACCCAAAGTCAAGCTCGTGTGCAGAGCTCCTTGTCCACCCCCACCTGCGCGCCTGCTGAGTCGCGTTCGGCATCACGTGTACCGTGCCATCATGGGCGAAAAGGACTGGCAGTGCTTTTGTTTCATGGCCTTTCGGCTGGGCCTGGCAGCACCGCGAATCAAAGCAGGTTAGGCCGAGATCTCAAGTGCAGTTGCATCACACCTTGCCTTTTGCAAAGCCCACCACGTCAGGTACTTCCCCTCAAGGTAATACCACCCAAGAAGAGGAAGTCTCTGCATCGAAACCCCTTGCACATGATAGAACAGATCACATCAATATCAGAACATATATATATACACATATATATATATACATATGCATATATGTAGGTCACTGTATGTCGTCGCTTTGTTGTGGCTTTCGATCTGTATATGCACTATGAATATGCATCCACCCCTTTGGGCTTTGTCGGGGTTATGCCATACCCTAAACTCAATATATGAAACCGAAAAAACTTAGGGTTGATTGTAAGGACTGAGCAGAAGACCCAAGCGACACCCAAAATGAAGACCCAAGTGACCCAGCGGTTCCGAAGCCCCGAGCCGAGATCCAGCTGTTCCAGGATGTGCGACGTGTTTGCACGCCGAAGCTCATCGAGGCGCGGTGAGGGAGATAGGCGAGGGAAATAGGCTTCTCAGGGCATGTACCCCCAACAGATTTTTGCTGAGGTGCCTTAAGTAGTTCCTTCGGACCGGGTGCGGCTACAAGCGCAATGTAATTACTCCATGCTTACAACTGCAAGAAATCACCTGCAGACTTGGCAAGTCAGGAATGCTGTATCCTGCCCGGCCGTCATCCTGTACGGCAAGACTCAGTACCGCAGATGATGCCTACATCTGTAATCCGTTCCCCTGTAACATGCAGAGAATTAGATGCTGCCGTCGCCGCAAAAACCTTCAATGATGCGGCTCACGTGTCGAAGCTTTTAAAGGCAGTGGTCCGAGGTTAGTCGGGAACCTCATCTTGCTAAGGATTCTCTGAGCCTGGCAGGAAGTGATGAAGGATTTGGACGTGAGCCCGTCCGATGAGCCATACCTGATTCGCAGGAGCCGGGCCCCGAAGCATTCAAATCAAGGCACATGACTAAGCTCATTCTGAGTTTCGCTTCGGCCGCTTTAACATCACCACTGACTCGGCTGGTGAGCTGGAGCTCTTTTAGGTGGTCGGGATGTGCAGCAATGTGCAGCCTACCAGGATTCCACGGGCGCATTGGTACCCTGTATTTAGTAAAAAGATAAATACACAAATAGATACATGTGCGTGTACATATATATAAGTGTGTACTATATATATATATATGTATGAACAATGATCGCTTTCCTAAGCCCTGCGCGCGCCGCAGGATCAAGACATCCGTCGAAGATGCGTACTTCAGGCGCAGAGGGCACACTGCATTTCAGCCAGCTCACTCTGTTGACCTTTTCACATCTCTGCAGCTCGAGGTCTAAGATCTATGCGAAATGCCTCCGGCTATATTAACAAGGGCAATTAGCACGTCTGTCCATCTACACGATTGTATCATACCATATATTGTTACACAATTGTGTATGGGCACGTCTATACACTGTAGGTATCTGCGTCTATGCACACAGTACAGTTCTGTGCGGTGTTACCGTTGTATGGGCATGGTCGAGGCTCTTTGCTTGCTTTGCTTGTCTGCGGGACACGCAGGTTGTGTGCGACTGCGTGCTCAGGCAAGTAGATACGTGTGAACGGTATGTAGTCGTAATATGCAAGACTAGGCAAGCAAGTTAACTCAACCGAATTACAATGAGCTGGCACGGAAACCTTTCTTATGTTTGTTTGTCGCATATGTACTTATCTTGCCTCATCTGACGCTACATTGTTTCATCCTGCTTCATTTTGTTATTCCACATGCATTTATTTTTTGTGTTGCCGTGTCCTTTCTGCTCTCGTGTCTTCCTGCAGTATCGTGCCTGACTATATCATGCGGTATCACATCTTAGCTTCTGCCTTGTACTCTAGGACGTGTTAGAGCATTAGGGACCGAATTAGGGTTTCGAGAGTTTACATATAGTATCTGTAATACGTACATATATTATCCACAATATCTATAATGCCCCCAACAGGTATAAGCGGACTGGAAAGTTCCAGACCACCATCGAGGCGTGGCGGCAGGGCTGTGCTACGGGTCTAGCAAAGCTTTTGCACCAGACACTTTAGGGGTTAGGGTTTAGGATTTTTTGGGATGTTTTAGGTTTGTGTTTGTCACCCTGGTCGGTAGTAAGGAAGTGCGGGAATCGATCCCTGTGATAGTGCTGTAGCAGCCCCCATAATACATTCCCTCACTCCCTACGAAGAACCAGGGAGTTCTTGTGGGGCTACAACTGAACGTACGTAGCGCCTTCGGAGTTTTTGTAGATTCTTCTTATAAGGCTTCCTATTACAAGGGATCTATACGGTACTATAAGTGTGTAGGGTTGAGAGTTTCTGTTTTTTTTTCGTGTGCGTGTGCTGACACACGGCCAGAACAGCTTTAGAAAGTTGGGCTTGCAATGAGGCTTTGTTGGGTTCGAACTCCTGGTTTCTGCCACGCCGCTTGAAGTAAGATACTTTGGGTTTTCAAGGGGTCGGACTACAGAGGCAAGGCTCCTATAGATGCTAAGAGTAGTGAAGCCCTGAAACCTGAAACTGACTGCGGGGCAGAACTGCGTGGACGTGGAGTCCCTGGTAGTGAACCTCGAGTTGGACAGAGTCGGCTTTATGAAGAAGATCTCCCCATCAGGCCAGCGCCAGGGTTGAGGGGTTTCTTGTTGGGTGTGCGTGTGTGTGTGTGTAGAGACTTCAGTTCAGGCTTTGAGGTGTTAGGCATTATTGCTACCTTGGCCTTTCTTATCTCGACTTGCTTGGGCCCAGTCCGCGTAACAGCAGCTCACCCTTGTGCTAGGTTTCGCATGAAGTCTGAGATGCCTGAGATGCCCGTTTCCCATTTCGGTTTGGGCTTACCATTACGGCATTGACACCACTGCAAGCAGAGTCCCGGGCTTTTTTGGAAACCTCAGCAACCTGAGGTCAGGACAGGACTACGAGGTAAGTTAGGGCTTTGTCAGTCAGTGTTTTAGGTCTTTAGGGGTGTTGAAGCCTTGTTTTGGCCTCTAGGTGAGCTTCGTATCGAGTGCCAACTTCTGGCATGCACTCCCTCATCTCCCAAAGGTCACGAAGTCCCAGGCATTGAATCTTCAATCCAACACCCCGGTGGCCCAGGGAAGCGGCCTGCATGAGCCTATTCAGCAGCACTCAACTGAAGGCCATAACCCGAGAGCAGTGCCGCATCGGAACGGCACTTCTCTGACTTCATGCTTCATGAAAACCCTTATCGTTCTTAAAACTCGAAAGCCCTAAACCTTAAAGCCCTAAACCCCTAAGCCTTAACATAAACCTCTCAAGCCCCAAACCTCAAAGCCCTGAAGCCCCAAAGCCCCAAAAGCCCCAAGCACCAGAGCTCCCCGAAGTGCATCCAAACAGGCCTCCTCTACTGCGTGGAGTGTCAGACTGCTCTCGGGGATGCCTTTGGCCTCAGTTGCTGGGGGTTTACGTTTAGAGGTTTCAAGGTTTCGAAAAAATAAGTATTTCAAAAAAAAAAAATATATATATATATATAGATATAGGTTTAGAGGGCCCGAGGTTTAGGGTTCAGGCTTTCGGGAGCTTTTTCAGGATTTTCAGTCTACCATGTAGGGGGTTTGTGAGGGCGCTCAGCTGGTACTATCGGGCTCAGGGCTTCAGAGTTTCATGTCCGGGTTTATGAGAGTTCCACAACGCCGTGTTCAGTATTTGTGGCCGTCGGCGGCGTGCTTCATGAGGTTTCCAGGGCTTCGGCTGTAATGGGAGCTTCTGTCAATCATGTCATCTTGGTCAACTACAATTCTTATGAAGCGAGCAGCATACGCCCCACAATGGGACTCCAATTCCTGCACCACATGGCATTTTCTTCGGATTGAAAGGGACACGGCTTGCCTGGTGAATCTTGAACACAGATTTACAAGGGCTGGCAGTGTGCAATACTTTGGGTGTTGGGCCTCAGGCATTCATGAGGGTTGATATGCTGTCTCGGGCGTTGTCTGTAGCGTTCTTTGGACCTCCGTGAGAGCCCCTTCTTCAGGTGATCTCCGCCGGGTGCCATGACGTTCTGTGCAACCAGTGTGCCGTTGAAACGCACAGCACCGGGAACCGGCAGGACCGCTTCAATTTGGTCACTCTGGGTGGCAGCTTGTTCAAACACTTGGGGAGTTTCATCTTCCAAGGTCATCTGCTCTACAAAAACTATCATTGAAACATGTAACGTGAGCACCGAAGTGTTTGATACGGTTAGCTTTTACATTGAGTGCCGGCGCAGATGAGCAAGCGGCATGTTGACCCACCTGTCCAATGAGCCTGTCTTTGTGATTCTCGTTTTGGCAGTGAGTCGCTTGCAGGTTGCTCGAGCCTTGTATTGCGCATACCTGCTTGCCTGCACAAGGTTACAGCGCCCACATTCCTCCTAGGCCTGGCAACCTATGATAAGCTGAAATGCGGATATTTATGAATGACTCTGGCCTTAGACCTCTAGACCTCCTTGCCATTGCTAGGATGCACCTCTCGTCTTCATCGAGCAGGCAGTCTGTGCTGAGTGCACTACCAAGGCTGGGTGATGCGGGTTGCCTTTAGCTGTGGCTTTTTGAACTTTGCCTTCAGGCTCAGATTTCTTGACCTGTGAATTGGGCCATCGAGCTCCTGTTTGCCATGTTGCCGAGATGAGTCCTGTATGGTATGCAAGCAGCCCACGACCAGCATCCAGCATGTCCCACAACTCCCACGTTGTCCACAGATGCCGAGGCCACCTAAGAGTGCTAACGGTGAGAGCATCGGCACAAACCTGTCGCAGGGATGGAGTTGAGGGCATGGCATCCATTATGTAAAAAATGATTTTCTGCAGACGTGCGATAATTCTCATAATCCCCAACAGCCCGAGCGCGCAGTTCAACTGTACCACTACTGCAGTCAGTGCAACAGTAGTTGGCATGAGTGGTGCAAGCAAGTGAGTGCGACAGTACCGGCTGGAGGCGGTAGCACTATAAGTGGCCGAAAATGAAAGCATTACTAGCACTGGCAACAGTGGCCTGACGGCGGTTCTGCCAGAGCCAGACTTCCACTGCATTCTGTGAACTTGTGCGAGCACGGTGGTGAAATCGTCGCAGCAATATCCGCAGGAGCCGTAGAAGCCCCCAAACTGATGCACATGTCACCTTCATGCTGTTTCCCTGGCAGTCTGCGCTCGTTCGTTGCCAAGACTGTGTTGAGCTCTTCTGCTACGACGCTTGCCACCAGTTCGGGTTTGGGGTTCACGCTCGTGTCTTCGAAATTTGGGGGGCTCTCGGGTATGTGCTAAATTGGGGATGGATGACCGAGCTCATGGCGCACGTTTGCAGCCGGGAAAGCTTCGCAACAAATTTTTGCATTCTCCAGACTTCAGCAACTGCGTTTGACGTAGACTAAGGATTGCTTCAAGCTGACTCATGCAGCTGGGCAGGGCCCTCGGAGGGTGTTGAGTCCATAGAGTCATAAAGGAGTTTATTCGCGACCTGCTAGGATGTAAGACCTCAGACGTGCGATCTGAGTTGTGGGCCATGTTTATGTGCCGATTTTGGGCTAGCAGCGACCTTGCTGCAGGAAGCGCAAGCGGCACTGTGTCGGCCTTCCCCAAAGAACATTTTGCTTCGAGTGCGACATGCGGGAGGCAGGTTGGTCAAGCAGGTCGTTTGAGTCCCATGAGCCTGATGGTCTTCAGCAGCTCTCGCTCTGCAATATCAGCTTGCCGCACTGTGGGAATGGAGCAATAGGGGCTCCACATGGCCGAGGTTTCGGGTCACACTCCCGCATGTACTGGGAGAAGTCTCCGGGGTTACCTGATGCCCATGCGTGAATTGGACATTTCGTTGCAGGCCCATCCGAAGGCAGTTCATAATAGCAAGTTGGTGTTGATAAGCATGATTGCCATCTGTCACATATCAGTCTAATTATGTAGAGGCATGTGTAGCGAATTGGCATGAGAAATTCATGCTCAAACTTAGCATGCAGTAGCAAGCAGAAGCATATCAGCTATCGCCAATATAAGTGCACTTTGCATAAAATCGGGTCGGGCAGCGCTGCCCCAATTGAGAGTGTGTCGAATCGCAACATGGCGGCAGACCAGGGAGGAAACAATGGGCAGCCTGTGGCGCAGCCCGTGAGCAGGGAGAAGATCCTGCATGCACTTGCGTCTCTTATGGCCAATAAAGATGCAGCCTACGTTGCAGGGGTACGCAGCCGGGCAGCCAAGGGCGACTTGAAGATCAAGGGGGAACACATCACCGCAGAGATTGTGGATGAAGCCCTCACACGCTTGCCCAAGACAGAAGAGAAGCCCAAGGTGGCCTCCGAGCCCACTCCGGCAGCCGGGGCTCGCTGGACCCCATCCTCTGCTTCCATTGCATCCATCGTCAGCAAGGCGCTCATGGAGTGTGAAGATGCTGAGCAGTACATGGAGCGGGTCCGGGTTGTCGGGGATGCCAAGGTGGCAGTCTTGCCAAGGCCAGATGTCAACACTACGCCCACTGGGGAATTCCTCTGTTCAGAGGAGTGGGCAGACACTGTGGCACGGCTTGTGAATCGCAAAGACGGCCGCGTCTATGTGCGCCTTCGCAACTTCAGCGGCTGGGTATCCTCACGATCCCGAAATGACTACAACAAGGTAGTGCTGGACGTGGAGGACGGCAAGGATCCGTTGGAGCCTGGCACTGCGCAGGTTATTGCAACCAGCCGGGCCATGCGCCTGCTGCCGCACATGACGCAGGAAGGCTACCAGATCTCCAATGCCAGCGGCACGAAGGTCCGCCGCTTCCGCACCACTGTCATCACGCCGAAGCTTGTTCCGTATAAAGCATAAATCGTAGCCTTTGGATGCGGCACAGACATTTTGTGTTCGCCAATTCTTATCGTATTATCTGACTGAAAGAACATAGAAAGAACCATCGGCTTCCGCACTATGTCCCGTCTTTGTTCCACTCGGAAACTGAAGCTAAGGATCCTTCAAGCGGCCGATTGCCTTTCGCCCAGCCTTGTTGTACTGCTTTTGGGAATGTAAGGCCTTCAGTCCGCATGTCGGATGAGCGCCACAGGTTTGAGGAGCTGAATTGTTCATGCAAGCATGGGTTTAGCAAACATGATGCGTGTTGCCTGTAACTTGTAACCCATTGGAAGCAACAACACCTGGAACAACACGCATGTTGCAATTGCAAGCTTATGTCGATATACAGCTTGTTGATTTGAGAAGCGGCATCGGAATCGATCCTTGGTATATGAGTTGTAATCAGCGCAGTTTCTCCGCAATTTGTTGTGGGCTTACGTTTGTTTCATGGTTCCTACTCTCGGTGCTGCTCACAGACTGATGCATCCGCAAGATTTGGCAGACACAGCATGCGTGAGCTCAAGGCACAGAGCAGTTTCCTGTCCTGACCTGATCGTCGAAGTTAACCGATGCTGCAGAACCATCCATCGGCTCTCAGGCAGCGCTGCGAACGTTGCAAAGCTACAGCCGAAGGAGGAGAAGTATATTCGCTTGGCAACATGAGACAAGAGTGAGAGGGCACAAAAGCCGAGACCTTTTGCTGGCAAGGAGTTTCTTTCAGATGGCGCCTTCCTCCGTGCTGCGGATGGCCGAGCATACCTTCATCTCAAGGAGCGTCGGAGTTTTCGTCCCAAAGCTTTGCGAGTTCTTCGACAAACCGTTACATAGTTGCAGCAATTCCACTCTTGACTGGGTTGGTCGTGCAGTCCGCCCTAGCCATGAGTTGGAATTTATGGACCATCGGCACAGCTAGCGGTGTCTGTTTTGCCGCGGCTTTTGAAACCGCGTTGTCGGGATGCTACAGGTTTCGGTCATCGTGGGCTTGTCGTAGGGCTTAGGACTTCGGTGTTGTACGGCTTTGCTGAGTTTCTGGTCATGAAAATGCTGTGATTCCGATGAGTAGCCTCCCGCTGTCGTCGCCCGTATTTAAATGGCACAGGGCTCGCATCAGGCAGTCGACGTCTTCTAAACGGACGGTCAATGCCAGTTCGTTGGATAGTATGACGTATTTCATAATTTAAACGATTTAGCCTTACGTACTGCTCCGGTCAAGTTCTGCTTTGCCTCGCAACCCTATTTGTCATGCTTCAGTACTATCATAGTTACCGGGCAGGTGCATCAGAGGTGACCTTTTGGGAACTCTTGAGCCAAGGATTTTCTCAACAGTCGGAGGTACCGTATTTAGGGGATCTGTAAGGGTCCTGCTTCTTAAACTTTTAGGGTCTACTTTGGAAAGCCCGCATGTTGTCAACCCACCTCTCTCCCCCGAAGGATGGCAAAGGTTGGATCTGCGAGCGCACGAAGTCGGACTTTTCCAAGCTGGCCATCGAGCAGATGCCTTACGGGTTTAGGGCCGTTTAGGATTTGGGATTAAGTGGCCTTGAGGGCTTGCGGTCTATTCCAGGTCGTCGTTGCAGTTTCCGATTGATGCGATGGCATCGGTTCATAAGCTAGCTCCACTCAGCATGGCATTGCCAAGGAGAGCAGAGCTTCGAGTGTTAGACCTCTAGGAGCTTGCGCAGCTGAAGATGGACCACACACACTTCCCACCCGGTCCCGCGAGCAGTGATGTAGTTTTCTGGCATGGCATGGTTGGAGACCTTTCCAGCCAAATCCAAGCATTCAACCACGACCCTAAACTCTTGTTAACGATTCATCCAATCCCAGTGACGGCAGTTGCTTTCGTTCCCACTGCCTGATCAGACCTTGTGGCTCCGCCGAAGATCTCGTCGAGGAAATTGAGGAAACCGGGCTGTCCTAGACCCCCCAACTACCTTCTATTGTACCCTAAATGCCCACTATTAAGAGCACTTGATTAAAAGGGTACTTGGGGGGTCCGCGGAGTGAAGGAGGTTTTGGGATTAACTTTCAGAGTTTAGAGACGTGGTGCCCCTTACGGCTTGTTATTGCAATTCTACTGCAGTATCTCCCCCAAAAAACCCCGCCCAACCTCTTAGGCACCTGTACCGAAGTCATCTTCAGTAAGGCTCATGTCGGAAGGTGCAGACTGTGCTGGGATCATTCGGGCTGCCGATGATATTTTGATTGCAGCTCCCGGCCGTATCTTTGTCCTATAAGTCAGAGGCCCTGACTAAAGCCTGTTATGTGCTACGAGCTGTCTAAACACCTGAGCACACGGCGATGTTGCAAGAGGTACTGTCACTGTCACTATGATGATGATGATGATGATATAAGTCTTATTGTTATGATTATTGTTATTTAGAGTCTTGTTGCTGTCGGCTTGCCCAGCCTGCAGCTTCCGGAGACTTGCGAAAGGAGCCCGGAGTTCCGCAGCCTGCCCGGGCCCGCGCCGGTGGCAAGAAGAAGGCGGAAGGATTCGCTTTTTACGGTAGTATTTAGGGTTTATAGGGCTTAGGGCTTAGGGTTTTTCGATTTCTGTTTCTGTCTCAGACTTGTTCCTTGTTCTTGGTCTTCTGCAACTCACATGAGGTCGGCATGGCCTTGACAAGTCCAATCCACGCTGTGCTAGATGGTGGTGGTAGATGGTGGTAGTAGTAGTCGTAGTCGTAGTAGTCGTAGTAGTCGTAGTAGTCGTAGTAGTCGTAGTAGTAGTAGTAGTAGTAGTAGTAGTAGTAGTAGTAGTACTAGTAGTAGTAGTAGTAGTAGTAGTAGTAGTAGTAGTAGTAGTAGTACTAGTACTAGTACTAGTACTAGTAGTAGTAGTAGCAGTAGTAGTAGTAGTAGTAGTAGTAGTGGAAGTAGTGGTAGTAGTAGTAGTAGTAGCAGTAGTAGCAGTAGTAGCAGTAGTAGCAGTAGTAGTAGGAGTAGTAGGAGTAGTAGCAGCAGTAGCCGTAGTAGTAGAAGCAGCAGCAATAGTAGTGGTGGTGGTGGTGGTGGTAGTAATTAATAGTCATAGCTATGAAGGATATCTGATAGCTATGACGGCCCCTATATAGTAACTAGGCAAAGCCGACAGACCTGTGTGTCAGAAACCCCTGTAGTCTCTGCAATGCTACTTTCCTGCACAGGCTGCAGTTTCCTTGCATCCCTTGCCATGGTACATTCCCGCGGCCCCGTACTGCTTGTAGTTGCCGTAGTCCTGGGGGGGAGCTTGAGGAAAGCTGAACATGCGGGGGAAGTGACACTTTCTAGTGCGCACTCCCGCTTGCCCAGATCAAAGCCCCAAACCCAAGCCCGAGAGAGAGAGAGAGAGAGATAGATATTCATGTGCATCGTCAATGTCATCTGGTCTAACCGTCTTGATCTTGCTTCAGAGAAGACGGCAATGGCGATGCCAAGTGGACTGGCCAGACACCAACTTGCAGGTCTTCCTGCTGGAGCATGCCGAAGTTACCGAAGTTCCCGAGACCGTGGCCCACGATGCTGCACAACCAGGCAGAAGCTTACCGTTTGGTGTTTCGCCGTCAAGCTCCTAGGTCCTCCAATCCTCATTCCGAGAGCAGGGTATGTGTGAGCTTGGTTCACAGGGCCCCAGCATTATTGCATCGGACTTCAAAGCCGTCATGCTACCGTAGCCCTCTGGCCTCGGACAAACCCTACAGTGAACGAAGCCTACTTGAAGAATTCGGGAACTTCCGCAGTCATCTTCTAATCAAAACTTCCAAGGCACTGGCTGAAGCCCTTTTGCAAGTTGTAAGTGACGGGAGCACCCAGAAGCATTTGATTACAATGATGTTGTTCTGAACGGCCAGAATAAGCAGGAGGGCCGTAATGATCATTAACATGGTGTTAACAGGTGGTGATGGTGTGATAGATGGCATGTGACAGCGGTGGCTGTCAGTACCCATCATGTTAAAAGAAGTTGTGCACGTCATAACGACATGTAAACATTTTCATTGTGGCAGCCATCCTCGCCATCATCAACATGACCGCCATGAAGAGCATCATTATTGTCTCCTTCTTCGTTATCAGTGTGACCATCACCCCACCATTCGCGTCATCAACAGTAACACCATCGTCGTCTCCATCATATTATCTATGTTCATCTTCTTCTTCAGGGGTAACGTTACCATCGTCATCAGCACCACCAGCGATTCATAACCGTCATCATCATCATCATCATCACAATCTTACTCTTCATGCTCATCATCTTCACAAGTCCCACTACTCTCTGGTCAAGTCTACCGCGGCTATCAATCAAATCGATCAAGTGTTGGCAAGCCTTTGCAGGTGCCGATGCCGAGGCAGCACCATCTGAGGTGCCTGTGCATCAGAGTATGACCCTGCGCTGTTCGTGTTCGGGGGATAGCAAGTTGACCTTATCCGCGGGACATCGAGGTTTCGGGGGTGTTTGTTTTGGCTGTTTCATCTCCCAGCCTGGTCTGGGAGCTCCGCAGGTGGTCTTTCGCTCCGATGCAGAGATCTGGCCTGAGGCATCCTGATGTGTCTTTTTGTCATCGTGCTTTGGGAAGGATCGCTGGCTGGGAGTGTCGTGTTTTGCTGAAAGCCTCCAGCATGATGCAGGCTTTTGTAATGCATAATCCAAGGTGCGACGGACCGTTGTTGGGTTCTGATTCTTTTGGTTCCAGCTTGAAGCAAAGGAAGGCTGCATTTTAGTATTCTAAGCCCGAGGATATTTGGTGCTTATGAAAAATTAAGAGAACTCCAGACACAAATTCAGGGAGAACACAGACTGCCACCATTCTGCCTCTTGTAGTACAGCTAAGAGATTAAGCGGCATTGCTTGAATCGGCGCTTTTTGGACTTTTGACGGCTGTCGCATTCACATTATGCCTGTGTGGCAGTGTGGCAGGAATATCACCCCCCGAAGCCCATCGGGCGCACCACGCGCTTGGCACTTCGGCGCCAGAAGCCCAGGGAAGCTCTTACTGCGGTCCTGAAGAGCCTTCCGGGTTTAGGGTTGAGGGTGCCTCACAAGTTAAGTTATAGCTTATCATTATAGTATATATATATATATAATTATATATATATATATATATATATATATTCTGGTTAAGTACTTATTTCTTTTTATCTGTTTGTATATACATACATATATACATATAAGATCAGCAGAATCTCCACAGCTTTGACCAAGGTCTCTACGTTTGTCACGGGAAGAAGGTGAAAGAGTGTGAAGAGGATCCTGGCCGTCCTGATGACCTGGGTTTGTCGCTGTTACAGCTTCGGGGTTCGCGGGGCTAGACCACGAAACCAGTTGAAAGTATTGAGTGTGTGTATGTGTGTGTGTATATATGTGTGTATATATACATATATATATATATGTATTTATGTAATGTAATACAATCACCAACCAGAAAACACAAATCCACGACCTGCAAGCCACCGTCGAGAAAATAGGGCACTTGTCACAACCGCAGCCAATGCAGCATTTCACACTGGGACTCCTGGTGTTTACGCAGAATGGACTGGGAAGTTTGTGGACTTTTCCAGCCGGATGGTGATACTGGTTCACCAGTTATGATATGATGTAGCCAGCAATTGCAAGAATAGTTGAGGCCCCCTCAGCTGTTGTTTGTCTTGTATGATCGTTTATTCAAAATTTACGTTATACAAGAAGTACTTCGGTAGAAGCAATGATTCTGACCACCACCCCTTCAGGGAGCGTCTAGAGGTACCGGTGCTGTAAGTTGCTGCCTTGCAGTGATCTTGCTTCTACACTGATGCCATCATCAGAGTTGCTGCTTTCTCGGCAGCCCTCAGCCTAAGCTGTGCCAGTCGATCCAAGTTGCGGAAAGAGGTTCTTCCAGTTTCCCGTAGCATTTCAGCATCCCTAGCCGAAGCTCTTCCCCGCGGAAGCTCTGAGTCTCTCTGTCAGAGATGTGTCGTGCCAGGATCTGAAGGAGGTGACCGCCAAAGCAGCCACCTTTGGCCGAGCCTGCCCTGCTCAGAAGGTGCCCACCTGCATAGCTTGAATACCTCTCCGTGCCTTTCCAATCAGTGCCTCGAGATGTTAAAGTTTTTGGCGTTAAGGCTGTGCACGACAGGCTGGAGTGAGACTGTATGTTTGGCAAAGGCTGCCGAAAATGTACACCAAAATTTTGCTGGGCCTGCAGGTGTAGTCAAGTTGCTCGATGAAGATCGTTGCATGAACCGGCCACTGCAGCAACTAGAACAACTACTCCAGCAGCTGCTTCACCATCATCTGCGAGATAAAGCATGAGTGCTGTAGGGCCTACTAGATAGTGCGACCCAACACGTTATGTTTTATCTAAGGCCCACGACAGTGGGCAAGTCATGTCACTCGTCCCTGGGAGCGCATGTCGAAATGGATGTTTCGCATGATGATGATGATGATGATGATCATGATCATGATCATAAACATGACGACGGTGATGGTGATGATGATGCTTCTTGATGATGATGCTGGTGATGGTTGTGGTGATGGTGATGATGATGGCAGTGGTGAAAACAGTTAAGTTCTGTGGTTCGTGCTCGTGCATGATAAAGCCCATCTTAAATTCGAATCGACTGCTATCTAGTTTCCAGAGCGACAATGATTGGTGGCGGGAGGCTCCCATCTTCGTTCGCAGTAAACCCTTTGCCGCCTATGCCCTCTGAATTGCTGTGGCAGCAGCAGGAGTTGCTCCAGTACGCCGAGGACCTGAAAAAAGAGATGTCTGAGCCCCGGCAGACGGCGGTACTGGGGTTTCTTGAAGAGTTCCTGACTGAATGCAGGAAAATGCAGGACTTCAGGTTGAAGTTTGGGCTATGGGCCCTCAGGGTTTGAGTTGAGGCCAGCTACTACGTCAGCTGTTAGACACTACCCTACTCAACCTATGCCTCCCCTTTAGCAGACTTCACATTCTCCCTGCATTATCTCTTTACTGGCACCAGCATGCACTCGCTGCAGAACCTCCCCTGCATTCGTTCACTCTGTACCGCAACACCCAACACCTCAGATCGGCAAACCCGAGTAAGTGCCTGAAATAAGTGTTGGCGGAATCGCGGCGGTGTAGTGTCGGTTGTCGCCCATCAACGGTAAGCTGACCCTGTCGACACTTTGAAGCATCAACCTGGGAGTATATTCACAGGTGAATTAGTTCGACCAAGTTATGCAGAGTGTCTCAGAAAATGTACACATCACATCCAAAGTCTGTGACGCCGCAGCAATAGTATGCCATGATGAGTTAGGCAATCGGCAACTTAACCCAAAGCACATGCAGGCAGAAGGCGAAGAAGGAGTGGTCCGCCGCAGTCTGCGTCTTAACGATTCCAGCACCGCATCTTCAGCGTGGTGTCAGCCATGTTTTGGGTTTGCGTGTCTGTCTGAAATCACTTGCAGCTGATGCAGACGATGGTGTTGTTTGCTACGGGCTTTCCCGACGCACCATTGTAGCGTGTTCGTCAGTATATCGGTAATCGGAATCGGACGACTTTTGCGATTTTGTCGCAACAGGAAGGTCAGTGCCTGTGTCTGTCGTTTGCAGTGTCCGTGGCCGCCTGTTCTGTCGTCCGGTGCGAGGCCAATTCAACCGATCCGAAGTTGACAAATTCTTCCACTCACGTTGTGGAGATTTGCGATGATTGCCATCTTGGCACCTCTCTGAATGCCGCGATCACTTTACTCGATACGCTATGTTCGAAATCCTCGTTAGGCTAGCGACTGCGGAGTTGGCTGATATGGAAGCATTGAGATGTTTGTGGGGGCATGGTCAGCACAAGTCGAATCTGTGAAGGTCAAGAAAGAATTGTCCGGATCTGTGCTGATCTCAGCACGCAGCTGTGGCAGGGCCCATCAATTGTGCTGTCATCCCAGGCCACCACTACTGCAATGTAACTCAATGTAGAACCGAACCAGAGGCTTCCTACAGATTCCTGCTTCAAGCATGTGCATATGCTGGCTACGCATGTGTTGCAACAAAGTCAGATGGGTGTTGAACACCAGCGAAGTACACAGGCCGCTCTGTCTCCGGGTGGCCACTCACCTGCGAAGTCCGACGCGTCGAAGTCTGCCAGTACCCTAAACAGTGCTGCCAGGATTTGGGAGCGGATTCTCAGGCTGACGGTCCTTGCGCAGAAACATGTGCTCTTTCGTGGACTCCTGTGACTTCGATCGCTTTCAGCACGTGCTCATGTGGCCTGCATGGCGTGTGAAGTGTTTGTTGCAAGTCTATTCCAAACTCACTATACCTTGTGCAGCGTTATGTTCCTGCAGTCTTTTCGGCATTATCAGCATGTTGTTTGTCGTCGTTCTCCTGTACCACCTCCGCATCTGATGCTCCTCTGGCTTTTCGGTGTTCCCTGCGAGGGTCTATCCCGAATAGCTGAGCTTGTTGCATCGACCAGTCAGTGTGATTTCACGGGTGGTGTGGAGTCTGCAGGGCGCGGAAAGACTTTGCTTAGTTCTCATGTTTTCGGCCTCTCCTGGCGGGCTGTGTGCTACACAAAGAAGCTTGAAGTCCAGGTCTGGCCACGGGTCAACCATGCTCCGCAGCTGTTGCTAGATCAAGCTGTTGCCACACGTCTTCGGCCACTGAGAGGTGCCGTGGCTCCTGCGCCTTATGGACTAGTTTGGAGGGGATCACAAGGATGCTGCAACAATGTCTGGCACTCCGCATGTAAATCCCACTCACCGCATCCCAATGCTGAAGCCGAGATCCGAAGCCGGAAGACTGCACTTCCCACGTCTTTTGAAGTTCTTCATCCCTGAGCACCCAACCTCGAAACATCGCAGCCTGCATCGTAATCGCTGCATCGTAATCGCTCCTAATCGCTCGACCTATGAAGCCTCTCCCCCCAAACCCTAAACCCTAATCGCTCAACCTATGAAGATTCTCCTTAGACGCTTTAAACCCTTTCAGGGATGGCAAGCGATGGCCGCGGGATGACCCTGGGCCTAGCCCTGGGCGCAGCTTTGGTAGCAGTGCCCTGTCACGATTTTCAGAGCTTCCGAGAGGGGATAATATAGGGGCCTTATAATTACCTATACTATTTATGAGGTTCCTTACTATAATTATAGTATAACGGGCCCCAGAACCCTATTCTAATTATTAAGGCCCCTACTAGGGTGCTACATAGAAGATCGAGGCCCAGACCAGCACATGCTGGTTGGAGGATGTCCGATAACGATGTTGACCTGCAAAGGGTCGGCAGAAGCTTACAGGATCATGCACGCTTTGGCTAGTTGCCCTATATAGACACCTGAGATGTCGTCATGGAACAGAGCGTATCGCCATCGACTCAAGACGTCTGGACCCAATTTTCAATGGCATGCTTGCCGACCGCGATGCGGACGTTTTCAAGCACAACCTAGGCACAGCTGTTGAGGTCACAAGCAGCAAAATGCTCGCGACTCTTATCCTCTTGCTTCTAGAACATTTACTGGCGATGCAAGATAGGTACAATGGTTAATGGCACTCTCATGTTTGGTTTGAAGCATCTCTCTCGTCTTGCAGTGATAATTCGCTCGTGCGTGAGTCTGCCTCTTCTTCGCATACTCCAGCATTCCGTGCAAGAGTCCTAAAGTACGCCTCGACTGCTTCAGGGTGTGTGCGTGTGTGCGTGTGTGCGTGTGTGCGTGCGTGCGTGCGTGCGTGTGTGTGAAGTCTTGACAGCACTGGAGGCTGTGGAAAAAGCGGCATGGGGCAAACCGGCTAGCCTTTCCGGTTTAGGGTTCCCATTAAACCCTAAACATCCCCAAACCCTAAACAACACCGAAACCGCTGCGCATCAAATTTGCTTGGACGGTTTTCCTGCAGGCGCCGGCATTCGTTCCTGGTGTCAGCCTGCCGTCGGCACCTAGCACGCCAGGCCGGCTCCCAGCTCGAAATGCGTAAATGCACACTCTATACACACATGTATGTATGTGCGTATGTATGTGTGTATGTAACTGGATGTATGTATGTATGTATACATATGTTTTACATATGGCCGTCCTCTAAATCAAGCACATCTTGGCTTCTCAGGCAGCTTGTGCCAACCCTTTGCGAACTTGAGAGGGTATCATGGCGAGGGTTCGCGGAACTCGCCTCGCAAATCTCAAGGCCCACCTCCACGAAGCAGACAGCTCACTTGCGAGGTGCCAGGGCCTCGACATCGTCGAGATCCTCTGGAGACTTTAGGCTGGCAACCATACATGGGTTTGAGGCTTGGGGATTTGGTGGAGTTGCGGCTTGAGCAGACCGTCATCCTTCTGCAAGGTTGCAACCGTTCTGCAGCAAGACCCTGCACTGCGGCCCTTTGTCCTCAGCCCGACTATACCCCAAAAACTTTCTACGTGTCTTGGGCAGGTCCGCCTCCAGCTTGGCTGGTGCTGCGCTGATGGGCCTTGCACTCGTGGGTCGAGGATCATGGTCCAACCGCGATGCTGCCGGCAGCTCCAGCTTCGAAGTGAAACATCAATACGCTCTTAAACGGCAGCCACACCTTGGGGCCGAGCTGGGCAATGCTTCGGCACAGCCAGATTAAAACACCGCTGCAGGAGCCAAGCCGCTCAAGGGTGCATCCTTGCGCGCCACGAAAGAGGCGAAGGCACTCCCTGGACTTACATTGGAAACAGTTGGAGTGTCAGACTGTCAGACTCCTTGGAGTAGCAGGTTTTGCTGCGCCTCGTTCAAGGTTGGCCACACTACTAGAGGTTTTCGGGCGATCGGATGGATAGTTTTGCTTTCGAAGTTAGGGGCTTGGACTTCGAATAGTCGGGTCTGAGCTAGAAACGGAGCATGGTTCGAGCAATGCAAGCTGTCTTTGAGGAGACATGTCTTATGCTCGAGGAAGGTGGAACGTTGGGCATTTCATGTTGTATGCGACGGAGAGTTTTTGGGAGCATGCTCCTTTCGCTCGACTAAATCCCAGGTCCTACTTCGCAAGCCCTAAATGTAGCATAAAACCCTAACGGCCCTAAACCCTCGGTGCAATCCTTCGAAGGCACAAGGTCCAGTGACTGAGCCGGCCCTAAGGCTTTCAAAACCTTATACACCTTACCTTCAACTTCAGCCAAAATCAAGCCTGCCAGATGCCGAAGATTACGGAAGAGTCCTTCGAAGAGCCTGATGAGGACGAAAGCTTGTTTCCAGCTGGCAACAGACCTTCCCTCTTGACCACGTGCATGTCCGCAGGAGGAGGTCGCCAAGATCGAGAAGCAGCGAAAGAAGAAGGTGGCGAAGTTTGATCCTGCACCTCTGCATCACAGAGTTTTTGTGACAATGTGGCACGGGTTTTCCGAAGTTTATGAACCTGGGTTGTGGGCTTGGGTCCCAGGACGTCCTCGACCACGTCATTGCTTCAGGAAAGGTCATAGGTCTGAATCTCGGAAGCCTCGAATCAGGATTACCCGGAGCGGCGTCCTAACGTCTCCCTGTCGTCTTTTTCTTCGTGCCACTGTCAGAAAGCAACCGAGCCCTGAAAGAATCAGGGTAGGACGAGTAGTGCACAGAAGTAACGCCGGAGATAGATATGGGCGGAGGGCAGGATCAGCCCTTCTCGCACCCAATGCTGTCCCGGTGACCTCTCAGTACCTTTGGTGTCCGGTAGTTGTACGCATAGAGAAGACAGGATTCTCGGCGATACAGCTTTGGACACTGAGTGACTGTCCTTGAGACAGCGCGCAAGAAACTTGAAGATAACTTCCACTTCCTCTTCCAAAGCGTCACAGCTGCACACCACCGGCTAGGGTTTCAATAGCTGGTGAATCGGGCAGATAATCGGGATGCAAAGCCTTAAAGGGACGAAGCGAAACTTACCGAGGCCAAGCAGCTGGGAGTTTGCCCGCCCCTGGGCTTCTTCGACCCCCTCGGATTTGCTCCCGTCGGCAAGAGGCACCCCGCCCGTGCGGATGCAAAGGAGATGCATAAAGGTGAGTGTTTTGTGTATTGTTATTAGTGGTGTCACTTTGAGTTTTTGTTTTTTGTTATTGTGATTATTAAAGTTTTTCGTGGTTATTATATGTTTGTTTGCGTTCTATCCTTATTGTTATTCATATTGTTAAAACATTACAACTATTACTTCTTTCAGTTGATGAATACATCCTGCATTACCCATAATAAGTAAGGAGTATACCAGAGTTCCCATAATAGTTTAGGGTCTTTAAGGCGATTATCATCAACAATATGAAATCAACAATATGAATACCCCCCCCCCCCCCCCACCCCCCACCCCCCAGCCCCCCAGAAAGGATTCGACCTTCGCTCTGCTTCGCAGCTTCAGAGCATCCCATGGAGCTGCGGAGGCTGAAGACAGAGACCCAGAAGACGACCAAAACCCACCCATGTCACAAGATCACGAGATGTTAGCAACACAGTGTAGCTTTAACAGAGCAAGGACATAATAATGTAATCTAAAGATTATATACTAGAATACAATAAGATCGTATACTACAAATATGTAACCTTTTCGGCCTAGAGTCCTAGAGACCCTGAAACTTTGAATGTGTTTGTGATAGACAAACCCGGACGACCCGGGCTCGCGTAGCTTTTCAGTGCTTACCATGATCTCATGGCCTTGGCTCGTGCGATTCAGGGTTCGACTTCTGTAAACTTAAGCTGTTAAAAAAAAAAATATATATATATATATATATATAAGCCTGAGGAATTACCTATACTTTTTTTGGGGGGGGGTCCTGATTATGATTGTATTACAACGGGCCCCAAAAAACCCAATTCTAATTATTAAGGCCCCAAACTATACAATCTACATTTCGACCTACCAGCCGCTTGACAGAGGCTTCAGAAACCTGTGCCGGATTGTGGCAGGAAGAACTTCAGAAACTTGCGCACCATGGAGATCAAGCATGGCCGCGTCGCGATGATGGCATCTGTCGGAGCAGTCTCTTTGGCTAACTTCCAAGATTCTGGCCGAGTATGTCGGTGGTTGTCAAAATTATGGTCCTTTTTGGGGTCCTTGCTCTAATACGGCACCTAATATTTAGGGTACCCAAAAGGGGCCATAATTTTGGCAACTACCCATGTGATGTTACCTGAGAGTGCGCTTCTTGTGCCGGGGTCAGTAAAGCTGATCTGCCCTTGTGGTTCCCGAGCTCTCCGTTTTGTCCTGACCTGTGGATGCGCTCGGAACGAAACTCGAAGCACCTTCATGCTTCCCAGGTAGTCCAGCACTTTATTCACCGAGACGACGTTCCTGTGACCTGCCCGATTCAGACTGTCAGTTCCGGTCGAGCTTGAAACTCATGGTTTGGTTAGATGCAGCTGTGAAGGCCGACAGTAGGGAGTCCTACAGCAATGGCCCCGAGACCAACCACACGTTCAGTGTGTTTGTGATTTGTATGTGTCCGAGCGTTTATCCTGAAGCCCGGATTCGAACCCTCTTCTGTGGTCCCGTATACTATGGAACATATATCAGTATAGAATATCTCATATAAATATGCAGCATATGCAATCTACAACATATATAAGATATGAGATTTAAGATACAATGAACAGCTTATCACGAGGAGAAGTGGCAGACTTACCTCGGCTCGGTGAATCCCAACGGCTTGGGTGCATGTGCCGCTGTGGTTGAAACTGCGAGGAGGGTGAATTCGAGGGTTGAGGTTTTGCGGTGTAGGGTTTAAGGCCAGGTCCTTTGAGGGGACGGCGGATGTTTATTCTTGACGATTTGAGGTCTGATTGATGTTTGATAAAAATTTCCTCGTGAGGTTTTGAGCAAGTCTTGAAAAATCGGCAGGATGGGTAATACAGTAGTCTGGACAGTACCTACTACTGTTGATTTTCAGCCCTTGCATGAGTGCAACATTGAAGCTAGGCAGGGGAACCGTGGGGACAATCAAAGGCACTAACAGAAGCAATCACAACACACACACACACACAAATATGGAGAGACACACTGACATGTAGACACACACACACACACATGCGCGCACGCAGAAACATTCGCACACGCGAAGCGTATGTCTTCACATGTATGTCGAAGATAGATGGGCAGAAAAAATAAGTATATAGATGGGTAGACAATGCCCATGTCCGCTCGTTTATGCACGTGTGATAGTGCCGCGGTGAAACATGCTGGCTGGCATATTTGTATGTTTGCAGAATCATTGGTGCGGACATACGCGCATGCGTACATACCTTCGCACGTACATATTCATGTAACGTGCACGAGGGGCAGAACGAATTATGCGCATTTTAAACACACGACACTCGAAACAAGAGCACGCGCGCGAGATATGTATATAGCTGTAGGTATACACGTGCATTTATTGGTAATTATGTGCACGCTGGTGTATGTATGGTTAAGTAAGCAGGCAACTATGCAGACCATTTGGCAGAAGCAGCGACAGTGTAAAGGTTTTCGGGGTGCAGCCAAGGCGATCTTCTATGGGCCTCCTGGATTCCTGCAGTTGCCGCTCGGAAGAACAGGTCATTGAAGGAATCCTTTACAATGCTGTGTTCAGGCATAAACTATACAGATATACAAAGATAAAGGGTACTGTCCCTGGTATGTGAGCATGGCGAAGCGAAGTGACTTAGGTGTTTGCTACCTTGTCGGCTCGGCTTTCACACCTCGCTGACATGTCTTTGAGATTCTGACTTCGCTGTTCTATTACATGATGACGCCTCCTAGGGAGCGAAGCAACGTGTACTGTTTTAGTCGAACTAGACCTCCCCATGCGTTTGGATTCCGTGTGGGCCTGCTTGCATAGATATGTTTTTTCACAAGCGCTATTTTTAGATCCTCCGGAGCACATGCATGCGACGTCGATTCACTAAACCCGGCTTGGAGGCCTCGAAGTCGAAGCCCCAAACCCAAATCTTATGTGATTGATTCGGACCTGGAAGTGAAGGCAAGGTTTCAGTGCAAATCGCAAACGATGCATCCAAGATCTCAGCAATTCAAGGACTGGTCTCGTCTTTGTCGCCTTCATCATTGAATGCATCTCCTCCCGCAGTTGGCAAGGGGCTCTCCTTATGTTGGGACGAGCTTCCCTCGAAGCAGACGTTCTTGAGAAGCCGCTAAAGGGTCCACCGCGCCTAGATCCTAAAGCTCGAGGCTCTTTGATCCCCTCGTGTCCTCGCTGCTGCTAGAGATGCTGCGCTTGGGTATAGTTCTGTAGCTGGACTCCCAGCAGCTTCGGGGATCAGACTGTCTCGCCTCCAGCGTATGTAGCACCTGCAAAGCATGCCTTGCTTCCCTGAGTCATTGTTTGGGTGGATCGCGAAGACCGTGAGCCGGGCGACTACGGGACCGAACAAGCTTCTTTGCGGGCGTTCTCTATCGCAAGTCATCTTGAGACAATGAGAGAGAAGAACGCAAAGGAGCTAGCTGGCTAGGTAGGTAGATAGCTAGATTTAAATTTAAGATAGTATTTTGAGAAAGACTCATGGATATATATATATATATATATATATATAGAAAATACATGGATAGACAGATTTGTAGACAGGTAGGGGGATAGATAGGTAGATAGGTAGACATGTAGATAGAGAGGTAGGTAGATAGATGGATCGATGGAACGGATAGCCAGATTACATATTGCGATCACAAAATAGATCTACATGTATTGTAAGTAGACATACAGATATTCATAAACACATTTTTACAAATCCACCCCCACTAGGCCTGTAAATGAAAAGAGGGAGCACAAGTGAGACAGATACCACAGAGGGAGCATGAGGAAGACGGACTTGTGCGCTGGCAAGCTCCTTCTCTTGCTAAAAGCCAGTGCAGCGATTTGGACCGCAGGCGTGCAATCATCATTCCGAACTCCCAAATCTAATGCGTGCGTTTGAATGATGTTCACCTCCTCTATTGATTTTCACACTTGGGAGCTTCAGCTCATGGCCTGAGAGAGATCCCACGCTTCTTCACGAACTTTTCTGATGGATACAGGAACTAGAATGCCCAATCAGGGGCCCCTCGCATAATCTCGCCTCGGGCCAGGGAAGCATCATCCTGTACCATTGAGAAGCTGGCATAGAAAGCACTGTGCAGAACTTCTACTTGTGAGCAGCCCCCGAATGTAAGCAGAACTGACATCTGCAGGAACCCACTGGGCATTCCGCTCCTCACAGAAGAGATGCGACTCAAGGATCCACGTCGTGGGTTGTGCGGTGCATGCAGGGTTGAAGGTGTTGAGGGTGCAGGGTGAGAGTTCAGGTGTTGACGTCTGCAGCTATGTGTCGTGGCCTGGAGTCCGGCTCAGAGGCAATACTCGGATGCAAGCGAACAGACGCATTCGGTACGATGCAGGTGGGAGGATAACCTTTAGACCCAAGGACTCAAATCAGCTTCTGCGACAACCACGCCATTTCAAGGAAAGCGTCGACGACGACGACGCCGACGACGACGACATGACGACGACCATGACGACTAGTCCTCGTATTTACGTACTGTACTACTACTCGTACTCCTACTCCTACGCCTACTCCTACTTCTACTACTTCTTCTTCTTCTGCTATTGCTGTTGTTTGTGTCATTGGGAAAGTACTTGATTCAAACGCTGAGCTATGGGCCTGGAGCCGTATCCTTAACTCGTCGTGAGGAGCTAAACAATGGCCGGATGGCCATGATCGCGATCTCCGGTATTTGCGCAGCGGAGTTGGCAACGGGCAAGGACTCGGACAGTTTGACGACAGAAGGGCTTTCACAGTTCCGTCTCAGTCTGATGGCTGTTTGTTCAGCGTCTGTAGACTCTGGCTGTGAATTTTGCAGCTGTGCTTCGCAGTCTAGTCATGGGTACAGATGGCGTGTGCTGGCCCACCTTCTGAGTGGTGGCCTTGTCTTTGCTTATAGGTTCAGCGTCTTCAGGGTATGAAGCATCCAGGCCCCGTAAACTGAAACCCTTATCCAGTCAAATCTTTAGCCACAAATCGAGGACACTCAAAATGATCCTGGGCCCCACAAAAGTGGCTATACTGCTATAATATAGGGGCTTAAATAAGTACCAATACTATTTTGGCGTTCCTTGAAATAAGTATAGTATAATGGGCCCCAAAACCCTAATCTAATTGGTAAGGCCCCTTTATCACACTGCTATACTTACAGAAAGCTCGAGGCGAAAGGATCGGACCAACTGTCAGGAGATCTCTTTGCGCAGGGCCTCCCATGCCCTGGACTCACTTTTAGGAGGAAGTAACCTGTGTTCGAATAGCCCAAGTTTTAAGAGCTTGAAGAGCGAATTTGCAATGAGCTTCCTGAGACCACCACATGTTGCCAGGATGCAGTGGAACAGCTGATTTTCTGGCAGTGAGCCTTCACGATTGGTCGAAACCGTTGGCGATGATTCCCAGAAAAGACCTGGGTAGAACTACTCGGCAACATGCCAGCCCCATACCTTTGCCGAAGTTGCTGAACTAGTCGGTACCTAAAGTCCCGACTTCGGGTCTCGGTTTTGGGCCTGGATTGCAGATTTCGATACGTCGCATAAGTGAGGTCCTCAAACCCCCTTCCGGGGCCCACGACTTCTACAGACACCAACACCAGACAGAAAAGCTCACACCGGTTTTGTTGCGAGGTGCGCCCAGCACATCAATTAAGTGGAGAGTGGAGGAGAAGACTCCCGACAAAGTGACGGTGCGCTGAGTTTTCGTCCGGCTTTCTTCCTAGGTCCTAGCCCTCCCAACTTTAGCCTTGCTGTCCTGTGTAAAACATGTGCACGACAAGCAACTGTAATCCAGTGACCTCGCAGAAGCCGACATAGCCTCGACGCACCGCGGTTTTCACCTCAGTTTTCTGGCATCATACCCGTATAGTTGCCAAGCAGACCCCGAAAAAAGAGTTCTTGCACGCTGCATGCTTGCCGGCTGGCACGATGGAGGATCGTCGCCATCAAAGTCTGTTGGAGGGTTACCGTAGCGATTGAAACATGATTTCACGAATACTTCTGGAATCTCCATGGCATTTCCTGCCGTATATAGAAGCGAGAGCAATGTTGTAGTTCGATTGACGCCACCTGGTGCATGTCAGTGGCAAGCAGTCTCAATCGCGACCAGGCCTTCCTGATAATTGCGCTCAATCAACCACAAGAACAATGACAGCAACAACGGCACAACTACTGCATCTACCGCTACTGCTAGTATCCGCTAGTGCTGCTGCTACTTGTTTGTTGAGCTGTTGCTGCTGCTGCTGCTGCTGCTGCTGCTGCTGCTGCTGCTGCTGCTGCTGCTGCTGCTCCTGCTCCTGCTCCTGCTCCTGCTCCTGCTACTGCTGCTGCTGCTGCCGATGCTACTGCTACTGCTTCTACTGCTGCTACTACTGCTACTACTACTCCTCCTGCTACTACTACTAGTACTCGTACTGCTGCTAGTACTACTACCTGAAAGAATCAGCTGTTTACTATCACTACCACCACCACCGCCAAGTTTTTCCTGCAACACCCGTAAGGAGTTCTTCAAAATGTCTCCTGCTGTTTCACCGTTCAAGGATTGTACGCGTAATTTCGGCGTAGGTTAAGTTAGAGAAGCAATCCGCGAGCTACTTGCCGAGGCTGGGGCGAGACAAGGCCCATTTCTTTGCGTCATGGTTGATGGCTTGGGCATGCATTACAGGGATTAGGGGTGGTAGGGTCTAGGGAGGGCTGCGGAAAGCTAAATTACTACTTATAACGGGCGAACAATGAATAGCAAGCAGAAGGAGAACAAGAAGACAGCCTGCTGCAGATTATGCGGGAATTCGAGCTTGAACGGCGACTGCTTTGCGGATTGAAGGAGTCCGACTCAATCCTCGTCACCGTCACGAACGAAGTTGTCCGGTTCACGATGTAGTGTCACCTTCCATCGCCCCCTACGGTACTCCCCACAGAGGCGGAGCCCCTTTGCGCAGGTGAGCAGGTTACCAATTCAATTTCTGTCAGGTAAACTGTGAACTACCTGCCAGGGCCAAGAAGTCAAACAGATGTTTCTATGCCACTTCGATGCACAGGAAGACCATTAGCAGCTATATGCGGCGCTGCGGAACCTCTGCTGTGTCTACAGTATTGCCGACCTTGTCTGCTTTGTCGTTCTGGTGAATATAAGGTCGCTTGTGTTGGCCTCCACGGGCAAGTCGCTGTGTTTCAATTTTTGGGCGCAAGATCGATGCTCTTTCCTGGTCAGGCTCCGTGATGCCCGTTCAGGTACGAGGAGGCACCTGCTTGGAGGACTTCAACTATTTTGTAAGGGCATATACTGTAACGTCTCATCACATGTAATCTCCAGACAGGCTTCTATACATGCATTCGACAAAAATGCGCAATCGTATCCACATGCAAGCATGCAGACATGCGGTCATACAGGCATGCATGCACACATACGGACTTGCTTGTATACAGACACACATACGTGAATGCCCTGCATGCATGTGGCAACGAAAGTTTGATGTCCGTACTTGCACGGGATTGTGTTCAAGCAGCTATGTGAGGGCATGTGCATGTGTGTGTATGCATGTATGTATGTACTTGTGTATGCATGCACCTACTTACATTGTGTGCATGTTTGTTTGTTGGTACCGATGCCTGTAAACATGCATGCATGCTTCCATGTACTCATGTATGCAGTGCAATGTCACTTGATGTAGCTACTGTCATATCATGTTATGGCAGGAAATGTCATGTATAATGTACATCTAATCATATATGCGTATGGTATCTGGAAATTTGTGTATTTCTATACGTACACATCTTTCTGTTCTCTGCATTTGCGTCTGCATATATGTGCATTGCAAGGACATGCACGCAACCTGTGTTGTTCCCCTTCAGCCAGCGTGCAGCAGTTCTTCTCCTACGGGCCTGCCTGATTAGCTACTATGAGTCGAGTAATTGCATACAGTCCTTTAATTTAAGTCAGACCTGCTGCAACCACGACCTAGACATGCATAACTTGTTGGGTACCATTGAAGTGCTGTGAGTGAGCCCCGAGGCCCCAGAGTGCTGGACCCTTTCTGCGAACAGACCCACTTTGGAAATGAGCCATGCTACGCACATTCACTGATTCACTTGTAAAGCATGATGCATCCACATCCCTTGACGTCCACGTAACACAGGTCTGAACCTGCCCTAGAAACAGACCAGACCCCGCAACGTCAGGCCGTTGGTTTTGTGCCATGCTTGGAAGCCTGGGAGGTGGAGACGACGGAGGCAGGGGCTGCCACAATGAAAGTTTCGGGTTGTGAAGGTTAATATAGGGCGAGACGGAGTTATCGGTCTCGGAGGCGCAAGCTCCGAGCAGTGTAACTATTGATGTTTGGGCAGATGCTCGGCGATGGAGCATATGTTTCTCTGGGTCGTGTTCCGGGGAGCTTGCGTGAAGCCTTGGCCAGTGGAACCGCAACGTGTGGTTTAGCCCTGACCTTTCCTCATTCAAAACTTGTCCTACTCGCAGAAATACTCCGCATGATGCCAGGTAATCGCCAGTGTGGACCATTGCGCACGTCTCTCAGCGCTCTTTCTCAGCAGGGGCACAGCCCTGCGTGGCCCGGATATTTTCTGAGTTCTACTCTGAAGCAATGCCTTTAATGGACTGAGGGGGCTGAGCTCCGAGAGGCTAATCCCATGCTTATGCTCGGGCTTATTGTACATTTTTATGTGTCCCGATATACTCTTATATATATATATATACACACACTTCAATATATATATATATATACACGTATATACAAGTATATACCTTGAATATTGCTATAGATAGAAGGACAGCGCCTTTCATCGCTTGATCTTGGCAAGGCCCTACAGAGCAGGAGGCCAGCGAGGACCTCCGGCAGATGCTACAGGCAAGAGAGTCATCATGTCCTGGTCTTCCAGAAAGGGTTCACACTGTGCATGTTTCGTAATATTTGGGGGCCTAATTACCAATACTATTTTGGGGGGTTCCTTATTATGAGTATAGTGTAATGGGCCCCAAATCCTTCTTCCTGTATTAATTTCCTTTGCGCTGGAACTTGGAATCGAGGGAAGGGCAGACTAAAGATAGGGCAGAGAGTGTTGAGAGGATTGTGCCCTCCTCGCCAGGCAAAGGTTACCAAGCGCAAGGCGCAAGTCTGTGCGTGTTGCTTTCGCCCTGCCGCCTTTGTATGCAGCCCTGCCTGGAGGCCAGCGACAGCACGGAGGCACCTGCCCCAAAGAAAGGTCGGGCAAAAGCCAAGGCTGAGGCCAAAGAGAAGGCCGAAGCCTAGAGTTTGCGAGACTGGGCAGAATCGGCTCAAGTTTACTTGGGCCGCAGACGAATGTATGTTCTTGACCGAGTTGGCTTAGGGAATACATGTCATATGCAACCTCTACCTCTGCACCATGACGAGCAGTTAAATCTCCCAGCCTCTGCGAGACGATATCCAATTGAGAGGCGGCACGGCAGTGGGGTGCTCTGCCTGATGTAGTGCTTTTGAATCCCTCTCGCTTTGCCAGGAGATGCCGGGTTTTTCGAGGCCAGAATAGCCCTCGGATACGATTTCCTAGTGCAGATTGAAGCCGGCCACCCTGGCAGTTAATCCGCGTGAAAGGCTGGATACTGCGAAAGATTGCCCAACAGATGCAATCGCTGGTCAGCCTGGGGGAAGGCATGGATGCGAAGGTCTCACGTGCCCGTTGGGTAGCTGCACTCGTCTCTGCTGCCGAGTTGGGAAGCACTCGGTGCGGATCTGCTTCGGCGACCTGTTTCCGGACATGACCTGCAAACTTCTACTTCTCTTCTGAAATGAGAGAATTGTAATTGAAGTACTAGCTGTGACTGTTAGTGACGATTAATCGAAGGGCGACTCACTTCCCGAGTGCCCTGGTGGTGTCCGACCTGTGGCGTGTCCCTGTGGCGTTGTACGGAAGAGCCACGGTCTGCCTCGAGCCTTCGTCAAGCGTTAATGTCATACAAAGAGGACCCTCGCAAACCAGGAACTCAGGAACTAACAAGCGATGAGTGAAGCATATTTGAGCCGTGGCCCATTCCTGGAAGCAGCAGTGTGCTCGCGTTCCAAAAAGGTCCGAGAAGTTGTAGTTAATGGAAGTTTCCAGTGCAGCACTTGCTTTCGTGCATGTGTGCAAGAGTCCACAGTGAAGGTAGGGAGTGTGGAAGGGGGGACCTGGGGCAAGGAGCAGGAGTTTGATCTCAGCATCTCCCTTCCCTAGAATGGATCGACTGATAAGTAGAGTGACTATGCTTATAACTATAACCCATATTCTGGGACTTATGACCCCACTTATAAATACCCATGCTTCTCGGTGCAAGGCGTCCTACATCTGCATGGAGTGTGAGGATGCCTTGTGTTCGCGATGTTCCGCACAGATCC